TCTAAAAGGTGATGGTTAAAGGCCGAGCAAAAGTTATCAAAAAGAGTTCCAGAGGGATGTATTATTTTCCATGTTATGACTGTGTGAGTATGCATCTTCTACATGAAGTATGTGATGTTAAAGGCGATCAAAAGCAATGTTAGCATTGGTTAAACTGCAATCAAGTGGCTAGCCCGAGGGCTTGCAACCAAAGCCCAAATGTTTGTTTAGGTTGAATGCTCTCTCATTACTTCTCTCAGCTACATAACTGTGGCTTACAGCAGCAGCAAAGCTAAAAACGGCTTAAAAAATATATGTTTTTGTTCTACAATTTCAGGTCAACAGAATTAATATTATCTTAATAAAGCCACAACACTCGTTTGCAGGTTTCTCTCTTTCTTTACATGTGAAAGTTTCATCTGTATGCAGCACCCTCACTGTTGGGAAAAAAATATCTTACCAATAGAGACATTTATGCGTTGAAAAAAAAACCATACTAATACACAACTGTAGCTGTTATGGACCTTATAAACAAGCTGAAATCCTGAGCAGAAAGCCTGAGCAGCTTGTGGGGATTTGATTAATCCTTTTTTGGCCAATTGTCCTCTTTTCATAAATGGGTTGGTTTATCACCAAAACAAAAAACAAATCTGCTAGTGGCCTGCTCATCAGGATTCATAAACAGCTGACTGGTTCTACAAACATAACAGGTATTTTTTATCAAACCAAAGGACAAAAAAATCTAGATATCAAATGGAGTAGCCAGGGTCGCTTGTGTAAACGTATCTTAAGTAAGGAACTCTTTGAAATGTTGACCTGATGGTGGCTCCAGACTAATCATTTTGATCACTAACAACTGAACTGAACTTCTGCTTAAATGGTTCAAATTGTCCCATGTAGGAAGTCTATCATTGAGTGTAATTCCGTAACAGCGCTGTAACCAACTCAGGGGTCATTAAATCTCCCTATTGATTCTGCAATGGTGTAATATTGGTGTCCCAGTGTACGGATTCAAAGTTCATCACGTTGTGGTGGAAGCACGACAGCTTGAGCTTCATCCAAATGTCTTCAGACCAGACACAAAGCAAATTTTAGCCTCAGGCTAAAACCAAACGAGTCCAGCCTCAGGAACAGTTGTGTTGAAATGTCTCACTTAAACAAGCTTTGCAAAAATACCTCCAATCCAGACACGTCCAAAAGTCAAAGACATCTTAAAATTACCTGGAGGCAACACTTCTTCCAAAGGCCCAAACTGACATTTTTATATTTATTCTTTTGTCCCCTCAATAGTCCAAAACAAAGGCTCTTCTTGTATTCTCATAAATGGAGAAGACAAGCAGCAAATTCTCGCATTTAGGAGGCTTTATCAAGAACTTTTTAGATATTTATGCTATGAAAATAACTTAAAGGATTGATCGATTCTCAAATTAGTTTCTCAAAACAATTATCAACTGAGCATTGCAGCTTTACTCTGCGTTTGTTATGAGTAATTGTCAACATTGCACAACAGTTTCAAACAGTTTGGGAGTAGTTCTGGTCAGCCACAGTTTGCCAACTTCATGCCACAAATTAATGTTTACAACGGGTAGAAATTGTTTGACATGTGTAGGGAACCAACTCCCTGAAGTACAGCAATACTAATGCTCTGGTATTCTGCGCCGACATTCTTTCCTGCTGTGTGGTCTGCTCCCCTTTGGTCAAAACTCAGTCAGGTTTACATCATGAAGTTTCTCTTAACTCTTGGGGGAGGTAGAGAAAGATTCAACAAATTATCTAAAACAGCAGCTTAAGCCACCAGCATCTCAAACTGTTTTCTCCGGCTCTCTGCAACGCTGTCTAACAATCCCATGCAGCGACTTGCTGCTCCAATGTTTCCATTGCTGGTAGGATGGCCAGTTGCTGAGCCACAGCCCTCCTCTTCCACCCCATCCCCCACCCACACAGACCAAATCTAAACCTGGGGTGCAGCAACAGCTGATCTTTCAGAGGCGTCTATTTTTAAAACTCCACGGCAGAACAGGCCAACTCATCAGGGCGGACATACCATCCTGTCATGAGGACTGCCAGTGTGGGACGTGACCCCCTTGATACTTAAAGGCACAGACTTTCTCTCCATGCTGCACAGATGGGATTAAAAAACTGGCTACCGTTATTGTTTTACTGTTGTCAGCACCAAAAAAAGCAAATGAGGGTTCAAAAAAGAGAACTACCACAGACAAACTGTGCACACATTCTATCAAACTCTCCGAATACCTTGACCAGAAAACATTCCTGCAAACAAACAATGACAAGAAATGATTGCCAGCAACAAGAATGCGCAACCTCAGATACACTTAAGCGAGGTAAATAGTCAGTAGTTAGAAGAAGAATGTCTGCAGGCTTGCTATCAGTATAGCAGGGCCTTTCACAGCTTTCACAAAATAATGACAGTTAAATGTGCATGTCAGTGAAGAGTGACATGCAAATCTGATGAAACATCCGGGTGTGGTTATCACAGACATAACTTCCTCCCAACTAGCTTGACAAAGCCAATTTCAACCGAGTGTGTCGGCTGTGAGGATGGTGTTCATGGTTGTATACTATTCAATACTGTTTGTTACTTCCTCTGTATGTTAGGATTCCTTTGGTGGACACTGTTAACAAGGTTTCTACCATGAGCTGAATTATCCGTGTTATCTTTCACTCTTCCTCTCCAAAAACAAACAAACGATATTAGAACCAGTGAATAAAACACCTTAATTAAGAGATTTTAGCCTGAAATTCAGTATTTTCCCAATGCCATTTGGTACAGGAATGTAAAGCTAACCAGACTTATGATGACATAAAACCTTTAACCTGTTAATTTTTGTAAGTTTGATAGACAAAGATCCAAAAACTTGACCATGCCAGGACCTAAAACTTTTAGAAAGAAGTTGGTCTGACTCTGAATTGTTAATTATTTCTGGAGTTCAAGCTTTTTTTGAACCACCCTTATCGTATGAACATGTTCAACATTTGCTGTTTTTATTTACTAAAAATCGAATGCATAAATTGGAACCATGTCAAGGTTGGTAAGACCTGAGCTGGAGCAATAGTATTTCAGAAATCTAAGGCTAACATCCTCAAAGAGAGAGGCACAACATTGCAGTAAATGTGAGGCTTTTCTTTATCGTTTGTAGATTATGCTAAAGCTATACAACTCAAATCATGTTTAATTGTCCCTGTTTAAACACATTGAAGGCTCAGGTGGAGTCCGAAGTGTGCAGGGTATGACATGTCAAATGTCCTGCAGACATACATGGAATTATCCCTGGCACAAAACATGTATTTACCCTCCACTGGACTCAGAGATTAGAAACCTTGAAACAGTGCAAACTTGTCACAACACAACTTCAGCACCTGTTAGAGACAACTGCCAGCTCCAGCGTTTCATTATCGAGGTTAGGCCGACACTTCCTGCATGTTAGCACATGAGAGGCTTATTGCTTAGTAAAGAAAACCATTTCAATCAGCTGAAAGTCACTCAACGTATAGCTGTCTCATTACTGTCATCCATGCAGTTTAAAGCTTAGATACAGCTTTCTACAACCATTACCAGAATCAGATGCAAAAGTGACCACGCATTAATGCTCTGATAACTGATGTCTATGTATCATTAGTGCTTTCATTATAGGATATGGTGTAAGACGAGTCATTCAGAGATCATGACAAAATACAAATATGACCAATTTAAGATTCAGTTAAAAATCCCATTTGTTTATTGGTTTCACAGTTCAGTGTTTAGTCAACTGGATGAGGGATTTTATCCCTGGATGGACCACCAGCTTTGAACAGGAACATCTTTGTAAGGTGGATTTAATTATTTATCTAGATGTCTAACTTCTCAGACTGACTGACTGAATCAAGAATAACAAGAAAACAGATGAAAAAGAACTCCTGATCTGCTGCTTCACAAAATCTGCTGTTGGTGGTAGTGAAGTAACCTCAAGACGAAAGGTTACTGGACTTTTATTTCTTTTATAATCAGCTCCTAGTGTCTTGTCCCAGCATTTACATTTTCTTTTAACTACATTTAAAGCACACCCTTTGCCCCCCCCCCCCTTCTCAGAATCAGATTCGGTGTTTATTGCAAAGTACATTTACACATACATGTACTGGGAATTTGACTTGGTGTTTTGGTGCAAAACAATCAGCAAAGGACTAAAGCAAAGACGGTAAGAAGTTGTAAAAACAGAAATTCTCCTGCGGATAACTTCATGTAAATTCTGGTTGGTGTTTTATGTTTTGAAAATTGAAAACTTCCAGAAAACTAGAGAATTGAAAAAGACTAAGTTCATTAAAAACATATTTCATTATAAATCTCCTCAGTGGGAATTTCTGCACACATTTCTGTAGTGGATTTTCATAATGTTGGAGTTACTTTTGTTTGGTTACAAGTCTTTAAATGTTATAAAATGAGTATTTAAGTCAGTAGCTATAATGAGACAGTCTTTAAGCCACATCCTCTAACTGCAGCAGTTTGGGTGAACTCCCTTTTCTATTGAAAATGTGCTGTGAATGTTACCTGACTCGACTATGTTGACGACTACAACAATAACAACAATTACATCTTGTGGTTATTAAGCATGTTTCAAGTCTCTACAATGTTATTGCCAACAAATATTTGACTGACAGGTTGAAAATCAGGTTTAAAACGTCTCCAAAAAGGACACATATTCAAATGTCTGGACGAATTTGAGAGTTCAGCTGGGTACACTGGGAACACTGGTACCAGCAGGCGTTTGTGTTGGCGTAGACTATACGAGCTTTCATGGACTTTTTCAGCATTAGGATGGATGTTTTATCCTAAAATTGTGGCTAAATTAGGATTGAGGGCATTTAAACGGGTCTCTAGAAGAGTCTCCCTAGCGCAAGAATATCAGTATGTAGGTTTTGGGGTCATTGACCTGCCCCGGTGTTTTGCCATTCTGTTAATTTTTGACAGGATGTTATTTGATGAACTGTGGAAATATAAACTTTTGAGAAATTCTCCACTGACTCACCTCTCTCGCTATGAGGTTCAGGGCATCGTCCTCTGCCGTCGACCTCTCCTTCTTGGTGGATCTTTTCCGTCCTGTGCCCTGGGTCCCCATGTTTCCTCCACACACTTAATCCACTCACTGTAAACAAGAGTCGGACTGCGGCGAAAAGCGCACAAAAGTAATCCAAAACCGAGCTACCGCGCGGGTCTCATGTGTCGCTAAAATGTTAAATGAAAGTCGAGGAAATAAAAGAAGCCGTGTCTGCTCGCTTTCACAGCATGGGTCATTGTCTTACATCCGTTTTCACACTCCTTCCTGTGTTTCAGTTCACTCGCACGCTCGCGACGAAAGTCTTGCTTCAAATGGTTACTGCTGGCCGCCCCACGTGCGCTTCTGGTGCGTTTATAGCAAATTCTGTCAGAACCGATTTCGGTGGATTTGAATTCTCCTTTTTAAAACCGCGTCTGTGATTCTCTCCCAGTCAATGGAAAATCAAACTAACGCCGAAAGTAAAGAATAAAGATGAATGAATAAGTAAATATCTGTTCTTGTGATGTGTGTTCAGCAGTTTGAATCCACAACCTGAGGGATTCAGAGCGACGGACTCGAACCTGTCACACACTGAGGAACTTCAAAGACTGTACTCAATCAAGATGCCTTCACGTGATGTCGGACATATTAGTGACGGAAGACAAACTGGTTGCTATTAAGGTTAACAAATAGTCACATTAACGGAATAGACTTTTTGAAATTCCAAAATGTACTTTTGTGTAACAATGTGGCGCAACACTTTGCATTACTTTTCCAGCCTAACTCATAACCCAGGGGCGTGTCCAGATTATTTCGACTAGGGTGGCTTGACTGGGGAGCTGACATATGCAGGGGAGGGGGGGGGGCAAAAACACACGTCTTTTTAGCATTAGGGCCTGTGTCCAAAGAAAGTGCATTTTCCACTGGAAGCACTCGTTTTCAATACAATCTAAGCTGCTAATTCTTTAGCTATACTTAAGAGAAAGATGTATATCATAAGTTTATGATATATCATTTATAAGCAACATTTAAGAGCAGAAACATTACCAATTAAAACTGCAAGCGGTGATGAAGGGCCCTCGCATCCCGGTGCATGTCGGGGTGTGTCGGGACCGCGGGAGTGCAGCAGCCGCGGAGAGTGGCTAAGCAGCAGGCCGTGCAGTTCGATTTGTGTAAAAGTCGTAGTACTGGCATGTTGAAATAAGCAACGTAATGAAGATCACATCAAATTTTGACGTAGAGCAGTTCAGGCTGGCACTGTCATGATAGCTATGAAATTTGGATGAAATTGAGCATTTGCTGTAGGGGGCGCTATGGTTGAAGTTGACTATTGTTATGTCAATGTGTTCAGAGGCCAACCCTGATCATACATGTGAAATTTGAAGCAGATCAGAAAAAAGTATCTGATCTATTTCGCATATTTTTTTGTGCAAGAGGTTGCTTGCAATTTTTTTATGGATTAATTCCTCTCCCGTGCACTTATCTTGATGTGTAGAGTGTTTTCTATGTTTTCAAATACTAACAAAAACACGGACAACATTTAAATACAAAGAAACTACAAAGCCGCCTGTTGCACCACAGCCAAGATATTTGTTTTTAACCTGAGTCTGACCAGGACAAAAGCCAGTCATTGTGAAGGACTTTGGGGTGGCACCTAGGGTGGCCATTTAGATTTAGGGCCAATGCCACCCCTGGACACCCCTCTGGACATGCTCCTGACATGAAAACTGTATTTCTACATAATTAAAAACCTTGATGGCACCGTGGTTACAAGCTTCTAGGCCAACCTTTCCCTTCACAGTGTTTACATACGTACATTTTTATCACAGCATTTAAACTTTTTATTTTTAAGCGACAGAGTCTAAGCCTGTTTTCTTAACATTAACTGACTTGTCAGTTTGACAGTGAAATAAAATACAATTCAAGTTATTAAAGTTCATTGTTTAGATACATTTTCTTCTCAAATTAAATAAATATATATTTTCATAATCCTTACACTGTAATTGAGACATCTTTTAAATAAGTAGGCCTACGTGTGAGAAATGTTTCTGCGGAGTTTTCCCGCGACATTTGAACGCGCCATCAACCTCTGGAGAGAGACGCCATACATGTTCAGGGGCTCAGTTTCAGTCAGAAACCGCAGCTCCAGCATTGGCTATCGCACTTTCTCACACCCCATCTGCTATTTTTAATGATGACCAGCGAGCTCTAAAAACAGTCGCGAGTTTCTTAAAGAGATACACATGACCTCAGTTTGAATGCGCAACATTTGAATCCCTTATTGTTGATGCAAAGGCTCATTATAGACAGTCAGGGTAGGATATCAAAGGCGATTTATAGTTACACTTTCATAAGTCTTTGTCACTGCTGTAAGCTATCATTGACAAATCCTAGAAAGAAAAACAATCATCTGTAATTTTTAACCCTGTACATCTAAGTTTAAATTTATATTCATATCTTCATATTAAAGCAACATGGAAATACGATTCAAATAAACCTTAAATGTTTTTTGTTGTTGTTCAGGATCTTATTCAAAACTTCTATAGAGTATATTTCCACGTCATACCATCTAACATGGAAACAACTTTAATTTCAGTTTGTTAACAGACTACTTTTAATTTGGTAAAGGTTAAATAAAAAAGCAACAAATATAATGTAGCATAGAGTAAAAGCAGAGAAGACTTTAAATCAAGATTAAAATATTTTAAAATGCACCACTTTATGTGGAACTTGCATTTTGTGTCATTCTCTTATATTTTCACATAAATCCTTCTCATGTCACCGTACTTTATACATTTAAAATATGGTCACATGATAGAGCATGCCAACACAAAGCTTATCTACAGAATTGGACAGTAATATCATGAAAATTGTCATAAAAAATAATGAAGTTAAACTTTATATTACTTAATTACTAAAGTAATAATTGCCTGTTCTATTTATGTATGTAGGTGATGCATCTTTTAGTATAGGGCCAGTTGGGTGGTGTAATATTTTTCTATTTTGATTAAATGACCATTAAAAACATAAAAAGCCTTTATGTAAAGGTAGAGTTAACTCACTTGCATGCTCACAGACTGTTATGCCGTCTGACTTTGAAGCTGTAATTTATACAATGCTGCCCTCTTGTGGTGATAAAGTGACAATGCCACTAGACATCCGGAAAGAAAAGGCCTGCAGGATAATCCCTGAAATGTTAATGATACACACATTAGTGAACTAGAGTGAATCTGTTTTCACCCGACATGCAGTGTTTGAATTAGAATAGCGGAGTAGAAGAGAAACAACACTGGACTTTGGAAAGATGACTAACATTTCACTAACATGAGTGTAATCCAAAATAAACATGAACACTGGTTTAAAACTGGTAGTATGCTGTGTGGCCACGAACACTGAGATACTATGTGTTTGCTTTCTTATGTTGTAACGCTGTAACCGTTTATGGCTCAGCGCTGAATGTAGAAAAGGAAGTGAAATTGTTTGTTGGCCTTTTACAAGTTGAGACTGGACTTTGGTTTTACTTTTATTTTCTGTGAACACGAGTCAAAGTTAGCACAGACTCTTACAAAGAAGACATGGACCTACTAACTTGTCTTTAACAGGACTGACTGACCACAGTTTTGGGGATTTGAGGACCTTCTTGGACAGTTTTTGTTCATATTCTTTCAATATTTTGGAGTCAATTACTCTTTTTTATGGGGGAAAGTCTTCAAAGGTCGCGAGGAGGAACCCGGCTCTGCAGTGACACTTTGAGCAGGCCGGTGCAGACTCTCAGGGTTAAGATGGTCCTTCTGGGAGCCTCTGGTGTTGGGAAGTCCAGTCTGGCACAGAGATTTGTGAAGGACGAGTTCAGGAATACATCACCTACAATAGGCTGTGAGTTAGTGACACTGTTCTTGTTTTTTAAACTGTGAAAGCTAAGTAAACAATAAAGGAATCATTTAACATGTCCTTTACTTATTGCCTTATAAGAAGATCTACTGATCAAATCAGTGTGATCAACATAAGTCATGGTTTTCTACCAGGAAGTTACCGGGAGCGACATTTGTAATTTATTCTCTACCTCATGTCATGTCAGGAGGGTAGATGTTGAGAACGCTTTGCAGTTGTTAAAGTTACATACAGTTCACTCAGCTTAGTCTAAACATGGGATGCTAAAAAGTTAGCATGGCTTTCCATAGAGAAAAATAAGGTGCCTTGCACATCTCAATATTAACCATTTTCAAATTATGTCTTTGCTCTATAAACAATAACCTATTAAACATGACAAGTTGCTTCCAGGAGCAGTGAGCTCATAGAGAAAGTGTAAACTGTAGAAACTAAACAAAACTCGGCTCATAGAAGATAATGATTGCTGCATTATATTGGGCTGCTTTATACACTGTCCTTTTTTTGCCTATGAAATAGCAATATGTTCCTTTTGTTTCCAATCATTAAGATACAATAAGGAGGAGTTCCTGAAATGGCCAAAATTACCCAATTAATTTGGCTAATGTATCCAAAATGGCAGATTTTCTTTTGGATTTCACAGAGACATTAAGGGACTTTTAAAAAAAATTGGCATGGGATGAAGGATATGAGTAATTTTCAAGTTGCCTGATGCACGGGCCGGCTTTCATGACTTTTTGAACATGCTGCGACACTCAAAAGTCCAGCTAAACAAAAAATATTAATGAAAATAATCCTTGGAATTACAATTAGGTCACACACCTGAAAGTCTCCTCTGCGGATCAACGAAGGAGTATCATATTCTATTTTTAGTTTAATCTCCCTCAAATAAACCAGAATTTTCTCACATTACTCCAGTGAATATTCACTTTCAGAAAATGTCCAAACATAACGTGTGCTGCACCTTGATTGCTGTATGATTTATTTATTTGATACAAAACTGCAGCTTTCTTTACTGTGTTTACTTAAGTATGATCCAGACTGAGCGGTCTTAAATGAATCGATTCCCCTTAGTCGTCATTATGCTGTGTTTGTCATTAGGTGCCTACATGACCTGTGCGGTCCACCTGAGTGATGTGTCACTTCGCTTTGAGATATGGGACACGGCAGGACAGGAGAAATATCACAGTGTCACCCCGCTGTACTACAGAGGAGCCCACGCTGCAATCCTGGTCTATGACATCAGCAAAAGGGTAAAAAGGAACAGACACCTGAGCATGGAAGCGACCTCTTCAGTCTCGTCTTTGATGGTGCTCTTAAACTAGTGTCTGTTTGTGTCCCTTTCAGAATACATATATCAGAGCTCAAGTCTGGCTCAAAGAGCTGGAGAAACACTGCATCCAAGGATCTACAATAGTGTGGCTGGTAGGCAACAAGGAGATCTGGCACTGGATCGACAGGTCTCAGTGCAGGTACAGAAACAGGAAACCATCTTTCTTAACCCAGGTCTGTCCCTGTTTCAAAGGTAACTCAGGTGGCTCTGGTGGATTTACTCTGATCAGGATTTCCCTGATGGGATTACATCGCAGCTATGATAGCCTGTTACACACACCAAAGATTATATTGAATAGGATAGAGGTTGGAAAAAATACTGATATTCCTGTTCTGTGTGCAGAGTATCTTTAAATCTACAACAAAATGAATTTAATGTTCTTTATTTCATCAAACAGGAAGGAGAAAGTCTGGCCAAGGACAGGGGTTTATTCTTCACAGAGGCATCAGCTCTGTCAGGTGATCAAGTCAGCAACCTGCTGCTAGATGTTGGTAAGTGGAGGACATTTTAGAAAGTCATTTTGGGGATTTTTGTTGAAGGAGTTCGGCTTCCCAGCCTGTCTTCCTGTTAGACTAACGTCTGTAAACAAAGGTCCAAAGTCTGAAGAAAGGCCACTTGATACCACTAGAGAGCAGCAGATACAGAGATGTGGAGCACATGGGTTTTTTTAATCACCATCAATCTGAACAACAAACACAATTTTGGATTCATTATTGCAAGATAGTCTTAGTCGAGGTAAGAGGTTACAGTTTAGTTCACTGTGTAACACATCAATGTACGTGACACGTTTGTTAACAGAGGTCTGGTTCAGCCCACAGGGTGTCTGAGTGTATCGGAAAGCAGCAGGGAGGTCTGTCAGAGTGGACCGAGACACCACTCATGGATCTGCATCCTAGAGACACATCGACCATGTTCTCATCCTGCTGTAGAGTTGGACCATAACTCACATAACCACTGATTGTAATGCTGTCTGTCCTTGTTCCTGTGTTTGTCTCCTGTACTTTAAAGGTGTAGAATAAACTCAGTCAGTCTTTGTCTATGCCACAGATTGAACTGGTTCGGTTTTTAAATGATTGTGTTCACAATGATCCAAGGTCCCACCAGCTGAGTTAAGGTGAAAGCAGGCAAAGAGGTGGAGCTGAGGTCTTAAGCCTCCTGACAAACTGCTACAGACAAATCAGGTACATCCTTAATAATAAATGACTTATCTCCTTCGTAAAATCAAAACTGGTAAGTTATAAAAAACTTCCACCCCTGTTCAGTGTTTGTCGATAAAGACGTTAACTTATAAGACCGAAATCGTTTTTCTACCAGGCTGAGAACTTGTAAATTTATGCTTTCAAAACGAACATTTTAATATGGGGTGTGTTTGGGTCTTTTGGAGCTAGCCTCATGTGGACACTTAACAAACTGCAGCTTTTTGCACTTTCTCATTGGCGTCGTTTTTCAACAGCAGAGATTTAAAAATGGGAGAAAAAAAAAATCACTAACAACCTGAGCGGGAGTTCATTGCCTCCTGTACTTTAAACATGTGCTCATGTGCTAATTTGCTTTCTCTCTTCTGAGATGAGGAGGTTTCTAACTTTGGAGAAACTAGTTTCTTTATGCAAGATCTTGCAAAGGTTTCCAGAGATGAACCAATATTCTTTTTGAACCTCCATGTCCCGGTAACTTTCCAGTTGGGGAAGAAAAAGTTCCTCTTTATGCTAAGCTAGGCGGTTCTTGCTCCTAACTGTACACACAGACATTAGACTATTAGATATCTTCTAACACTCAAGAAGATCTAATGTCAGGGAGCACAGAAAGTATTCAACTGTTTTTAGTTCAGAAGAAATGTTCAACAACTTTTCTGTTGATTTAAATCTATTGTTTATGTTCCACGTCGTGGGAAGCACTGCTGTTGCATGACTCTGCTTCTATGAGGATTTACAAGAGTGCAAAACAAAAATGCACTGTGCTCTGGATAACACTCACTGGGCTGTAAATCATCTACTGTAAACAATGGTAAAATTGTCCCCATGCTTTGACAACATTTGTATTACAGATACTTTGCAGACATTGGTATGTTTCTGTTTACATTTGGCCTCCACATAGAGTAAAGTTTCTCCCCTGCAGTCAGTGTTTTACTGCTTACACAATGTTCCCGCATTTGTTCTTCATCCGAAACATAAGTTTCTCTGCAGGGTGGACCCAAGAGGGCACTCTTTATTTTTTAGAGATTTAAAACATTGCAGAGGTCTTGATGATTATCGTCACAGGCCTTACAGGAGCTTGGTGTCAATCAGGACAACAAAGACTTGAGGGGGCTGCTGGTCCTCATTTGGTTTGGAGTCTTCACATCAAACAAAGAGTCACCTCACACGGAGGGGGGATAAAACATATTAAAACTGAAATATGGAGGATTTGGTTCATATTATGAGTGTGTTAATCTTGTGAATATAAAACAAACCCTCAGCGTGGCTTTTTCACATTATGCAGATGTTGTGCAAACCCCTCGAGTGACTTATGTAACGTACTTATGTATGTTTCTTTGTTTTAGACCCTTTAAGAAAAATGAATCGAATCATTTTACAAGAAAGGATAAACCATTCAGCCAAGGAAATTGAATATTAAGTGAACAAAAACTGAATTCCAGCTCAATTTAAAGTGCTTTTCGGTTCTAAAAAATCTTTCCTACATTCCCAACGTCCCATGATTGGATGTAACAGACAAGCGAGCCGTCTGTAGATAGATCTTTTATTGAGTTGGTTATCAACGGAGAGAGATTTCTGACTCTATCCACTGTTCTATCTTAAAATAAGAAACACTAAAAGCCCAAAATGGGGCGCTGGTGGCGCAGTGGTTATTGCGCGCGTCCAATGTATGGAGGCTATAGTCTTCCAGATGGGCGGCCCAGGTTCAAATCTGAGCTGTGGCTCCTTTCCCGCATGTCATTCCCCACTCTCTCTCTCCCTGATTTTCAACTCTATCCACTGTCCTATCTCTCCATTAAAGGCACAAAAAGCCAAAAAATAAAGAAAGTCACCTGTTTTGACGGAACAGGAAATTCAAAGGTTATTATAATTACTTGAATTCGCCTTGCGAGAGCTTGATCCTCTTGATAGTGCGTTAATATGGGGTACTCCGTTTAAACTAAAGATAAAGACATTAGAAACATGTCTTATGCTTATCTTTTAAGTTTTATAAAACTCTATATCTCACTGTACAAATCCACAAAAAAGAACAAGTTGACTAGAATAAGCCAATCTCATGGAGCAAAAAGTGAAGATTTCAGTTAGGCTGCCATATTTGAAATTGAAGATTACATGGCACACACGTTCAGCTAAAAACAAAGACGGATGTTTGTGCCAAAGGCGTTCAGGGATGGATTTTTGTTCTGCCAAACTTTCCACCATTGTGTTTAATATTAGAGTGTTTGATGTAAGAGTAGCATTCATTTTTGTTAAAGTCAGAAAACACAAACACACGACTTATTCAGGTGCTGAGTTGTGAAAAAGAACATAGATATGATGCACAAAAACTTACAATGCTATGGATCCCAAAGATATACTTTAGTTTTGAGCCTGAGGTGCTGTGATTTGTGTTGACAGCACCTGATGAAAGAGCCCGGTCAAGCTTGAAAAGTTGTGTTATTAATGCATAAAGCAAGTAAGTATCCATGGGAGCCAGAGTGTTGCGAGTCTTTGTGCATCATATCCAGCTTTAATGTGGTGCCATCCCTGCGTGTAGGCAGTCATCGGGTTCAGAAAAAGGAAACATGTTCAATATTAAGTTTCTAACCTCTTTGCCTTTTAAAAAGAGTGCTTACAATCTTAAAACAGAGCATGGCTCTCTATTCAAGAAAACAACTTCAATCCTTTTTGTAATGTTTACAAAAACAATCCAAGTTAAACACCTTAAAGGAACCCGACCAATAAACAAGACCAACTGGAACACTGCAAACTCAGAGCAGAAGTCATTTTTAATCATTCATATTATTTGCGCTGTGTGATCCAAACATTGCTGTCACCGTCAGCTGTTGGTCTGTAAACTCTGGCCGTGATGAAAGCCAGATGTTGATTTTTCCTCTCTGCAACTTTGCGTCCAAATCTCCCCACCGGTCTGATCCCTCTGCCAGTGTACCAGGAGGCATCGATGTCTGGATCTGAGCGGCACAGAGGACAGAGGACAGAGGGAAGAATAATGAATAGACATTTCAATCAGGAGACAGGTGAATAAAGAACAAATATTTATTACAATAAACAACATGGAAAAGTGTCCTTTTGAGCTTTGACTCTGTGGGGTGGTTGTTATGTTTGGAGAATAAATGAATCCCCCACATGGAGTGCAGACACTGGTGGTGGTGAGGGCTGATGACTTGGAGAGGCCAGATGGGTGAAGAATTGATGGATGAGGATTCTGTAAAGCCGGGCGTTGATGGGGAGGTGGAGGGGCTCATGAAACATCGGCATGAAGGAACTAAAGGCAGAGAAGGAAACATATTTAAAAAGTGAGTCAAACGATGATGCTGTCAATGAGGAAGGGGTTGTCACGCAATTGGATTGGTGAGGCCAGCTGATGAGCAGCTGATTAGCCAATGACAGGCCAAGAAAATGACAGCCCGAGAGAATGACAGAGGAAATGTGATACACACGACCATGAAGGCAAATATATGTATAACTTCAAATCACAGGATGCATCATGAGTTTGTACTTCTTTCATGGTCGGTTATATTCAGTCATTTCTAAACTGCATAAACGCTGGCGCCTTGATGTAAGACGTTGTGCCACAACAAGTCATTTATATTTCACACGTTTCAAACTAAAAGTAATTTGCAATAAACTCTATGAAGAGGCAGGATTCAAAGATTTACAACATAAAGACACATGTTTTTCATGTTGGAGTCAGGTCCAAATGTTGTATACGTTTATATGCTGTATATTCCATTTGTGTTCATCCATATAATTACATGTGTATGTATCATGTTGAAATCTTTGGGTCTGCAGCTCTTCGGCTCGTTAGTTTGGAGATATCTTACTTCTGATACTTATGGACGCTTCGTGATGAGATCCACTCAGAGCCTGAGTGAGAAACAACAAGACGACACAGAAGACTGCACACAGCCTCATCGCTGCTCGACCTGGAGCAGAGAGGAGACGGAAATACTCAGTGCTTTGACTTCAGTACAAGATATAAAACCACAGTGAAGAAATAGTTTGGTTCATGTTCTTGTCATGCATCCAAAGTTATGTCATTGAGGGAATGTACAAAAGTAGCAGCAACAGTAAAATAGCTCTTCTGCCAAATAATCGCCTTCAGAGTTAGACATACCAGATTCTTGTTTCATTATTTGTATGATGCATTAATGCAAACATAACCTCAATTTGGTTGTGTGAGCATTGACTTGTAATTTATACTTTTACCAGACAATAAACTGATTAAAACTCAGAACAAGAATCAGTACTATGGCAAAAAAGTGTATTCTGTAATCAACTCTTAAATCTACCTTGAGAAGCAAGCATTCCTCAAATGTACTTTACACCACTAGATTACAATATTCAAATTTGTGACTCGAAGCATCTTGAATATTGAAAGAATATGAAGACTTACCTTTTGGAAGATTTCCTGTGTATTATCTGAGCTGTTGAAGCGATCTCTTCCCAGTTCAGACAGGGAGCTGTACAGGTGAAGGAATGATGACCTGGACCTGGAGATGATCCCTCTCTTAATGTGAAAGAACAGCCTGTTTGAAGTCCCAGTAACTCAAACACATACTGCAGTGAGACTGAAGGACAAATGAGTGTGTTGATCTCACCTGCTCTATGGATGCACGTCTGAGGTGGTGGTGTTGTCTTTGTTCATCATTTGTGTCATCTCTTCTATACTCCAGCAGGAGGGGCAGCGGTGTGCTGATATGCTAATGTCACACACTTCTTCAGAAGAACGATATGATGCACATATTGGGGTGGCGGTGACTCAGTGGAGTGAGTCGTTTTTTAATCAGATGATTAGGGGTTCAATTCCTGGATGAGACAAACCTAAACCTAAAAAAGCTCCTGATGGTATTAACATGTGTGTGTGAATCACTACCTACCTCCCTACCTAAATCCATCCCTCCCTACCTTCCTACCTAACTCCCTATGTCCCTACCTACCTACCTACCTCCCTATGGCAGAACCTGATATTTTGTGGGTACATGTCATGCTTGTGAAATTATTGTTTGTTAGTTCTTTAATATTTTTAAAATAGTCACTTCGGTTTTTTTAACCCCCTAAGTAATGTGGATGATAAACAGGAAGATCATGAAGTGTCCTGAAGTTGCAGGAATAAAATGTAATACAGTGAAATAAACAAACCACAGTGCTCCTATACTATCAAAGCTGTCAAACCAACCCTATGTGATTGTTTCCCTGTGTTGCTGGCATGACATTTCTTGCTTTCTTTAAAGGTGGACATGACAGAAACTGTAGACAGCTGTTATCATCAAAAGATACATATTCAAAGGACTGTATGACGACATAACAACAAACAGCTAGTATGACAGCTTGAACGAGGATGTCGACGCTCTCTACCATCAACAGCATCTTGATTTGTTGAAGTCACGGTGAGAAAAAGAAGGAAGCAACCATAGCAAATCAAAGGTTCTGCTGCAGAAAATGCTGTTTGAAGTGTCAGTCATGATACAAGAGAGATAAGACGAGATTTAAATACAAAAAACACATGTCAGTCGAGTTTGTAAAAAAATGTAATCATACAGAAGCATAATATCTAAATGCACACATACATATTATACACATACAGAGTGTCAAAGGCCTTGGAAAATAAAGGGAGAGACACAGAAATAATGAAGCTGATTTATTAACAAAAACATAAATGAAAGTCCAAAAAGAGACAAGGAATGTGAATGTGTGAAGTGTATGGTGTTGAATGGAGGAGAAAGATTCAGTACTAAAACAAGGCGCCTGTAGAGAGTCTCTCTGAGCAGACTGAGGTGCCTCTCTAGTTTACGTGAGATGAGTAGCTGACGTAACCAAACTAGTGCTCACTATGTTGACGAGCAGAGACGCCTGAATGGACAACTTTGTAAGTGAAATGGTCACTGCAGAGGAATGGCGAGAACATTTTCACATGTCAAGGTCATCGTTTTTGACTTGGCATGCTCATGACAGCTGAGTTTTGCATTTTCATGTGCACCACAATGTTTTCGAGAGTTTAGCGTGTTTGGACAGGATTATTTTTTTAAACTGAAGAGTAAAACCTCCGTTTTAAAAATACCCGATTTGGCCTAAGAGTACGACAATATTTCTACATATATTTCAATAAGTCTACAGATTATTTGCTCAAAGAGAAAGTGACTCCAGAGGCAGTAGTATATCATCAATATTATTGAGATCCTCATCAGTGTCAACCATCTGTACGTCTGAAAAATCACAACAGACAATTTCTTCATCATCGATTACACAATTTAATTAATGAACATTAAGAGTGTGCATCATTAAATGTCACATGTTTTCTGTTATTAAGCTGAAAGTAAGACAAATAAATAGTTCATGTTTTTGTTTGCATTGTGTTTCTGCATGAAATGAGACAGACTTCATGAAATTAACCACAATTTGTAATTCAAGGAGAAGTATTTTAATAAAATTAGAGTATAAATGCGGAAAGTACCGCCTTCAGAATGAAACGTGAGCTGTTGATGTAAACATTACTGATCATGTAGAAAATGTTAAAACATGTCTAACATCATTCACATCAATACAAAAGCAACAACATTTAAATACCTAATAACCAATAACCAGGTGAGACCTGCAGGACCTGCTCTGATTTCATAATTCAACTTTTCGCTTAGGATCAGTATCAACTGTTTACAAAGATATAAACTAAACCAATTAAATATAAAATGTTAAATTATTACAAAGCAGAAAATGCTAATTCTTTGGTAATGCTTTTGAAAAAGTTTCTTTTTTTTCTCATTTATTTTTGTACCTTGCAAATAATTGAAATAAAAGCGTGTAGATTTCAGAACAATTTGTCAAATCAAAAATGCTTTTTCACATTAAGGTGAAGTTGTTATGAATGACCTCACATGTTAAAAAGATGCAGGTCTAGTGTCAAGCGTTAAATTGTAGTTCACATCAATTAAACAATAAATATATTTGAGATCTAGACCAAGACAATGACTCTACAGTTCACAGGTCAACATGCTGAAATACAAATTTAAAACAGCCCCCGTCCGAGTCGATCGCAGAGAATTGTAATAAAAAATCTAAAAACAAACCAGGACAATAAAAGAAGTGATTAGTCACAAAATGCTGAGCCGCCTCCTCATGAGCCCTGAGTCATTACCGGTTTCTGCAGGAAGAGAGAGAGAGACACACACACACACAATCATTGTTTGATTAACAGAGAGTCAATCGTATCATGCTTTGATTGGGTTAATGAAGTCATCATTAGCTATGATCTCATTCATATCATCTGAGATGAAAACAAATACAGCAGGAACTAAAACAAGTCTTTATCAGCAGGATGTGAGAGTTCAGATGGATTACTCCCGCAGGAGAAAGAGAATGAACAGGAAACACATTTAATGCACGAGAGGGGCAATCAGCCCCAAATAATCAGACAGTGTGTCATTTCATCTTGATACATCTCTAGTGTTAAGAGAGGTGTGACGAGAGCAGAAAATAAAATAGCAAGTTGGAGTTATTAAGGGGAGAGAAAGATCTCATTAGAGAGTGAACGACAGCAACGGATCGGTCCTATACTGCAGGATAATAACTCCAAAACCAGAACCTATCTTTCTTTTTTCTGCTCAAATGGAAGTGCTAAAATGGCAAAAGTGTATTTCATGGTTGAGATGAGACTATTATTCTTTATAACTTTAATCTCCAAAATGTTTGGACACATCTGTGTGTGCTGCAAGCTAAAGTATTTTAAATCCTCGTAATGAGAGGAAAGCAGGTAGAAGAGGATCAGTAAAACACAAATATATATCTGTGTTAAATAGACTAAAGACCAAACAGGTGTAAGCTTTTGTGGGCATAAGCTTTCAATGACACAGGACTGCACATAATTAGTATATCTATCATAGAAACAGAACATTTCTTTTTAAACTGCAGTGAAGCCCATTATGACGCCAGCCACCACCAGAGCAGCAACTCATACCGCCAAAGCGTGAAACACGTAAATGAAGAGTTCATTTCCAACTATGGAGACATAACTAAATTAGGAGTGACATTTAGGAAAATAAACCTTTTTTTGCCAAGAGAAATCACAATCAACATCACTGCCATGTCTGTAAAAGTAAAGCTTTAGAAAGACACAGCTGGTTTTCCCTGTTTGTCTTTATGCTAAGCTAAGCTAATAACCTCCTCGCTCTTGCTTTGTAGTTGACTTACAGACGTTAAGAGTACTTTTCTTTGCATCTTATTTCACCTGGCAAGAAAGTGAATTCCCAAAAATGTCAAACTCTTTTTTGTTTTTTGAACAATCAATATCTTGTGCCAGCAATCTGCCATTAACATGTTCAACATTTTAAATTCAAATCTTTTTTCTGTTCTGTGTTTTTCACTTTTTCTGCTAAAGGTGTTTTAAGAAGATTGGATCTGAACTCTTCACTGCACCCGGCACCACACAGTGGGCTCATACCGCAAAGGTAGCCCTGGGTTTGGGCTTGGCCACTGCGGTCCTCTGAGTCAGGGAGCCCCTGTAGGGGGAGTTCCTCACAAAGTTGTCCACCTGGTCTGCAAACATACAGGAACCACAATGTACATACATGTTCCAACAGAGCTGCAAATACAACTCATTTTCAAAGCAGGTTTGTTATTTCCTTTAGAACTTCAGCTGCAAAAAGCTGGAAGTTTTATTTCCCAGGGAAGCAGCGGATGGAGAGACATTTCAGATGAAATAGACCAACAATTACAAAATGCAAGAGTATAACTGGGAGAGTGAAATAGCTTCCTCTTTTAACAAACACTAGTCAGGAGTCTGGGTACAAGAAAAATCTACACGAGTCCTGTGACAAACTCCTACTGTATTGTTATTAAATAACTTAAAACAACTATAGACTGTTTTTCTCTATATATTTTTTAGTGTCTAAAATATATTTTCAGAAAGTTTTGGAATTGCAAAACTGAATCTTTTAGAAGAAAACCCCCAAAAAGTTTAGGCAGTAGAGCAGCCACTCCCATGTTCTGCACGTTAAAAAGACACTTTTTTTTTTACCCATAAAGAAGAACATATCAGCTGGGTTTCCGTTTACATTAATGTGTGATATTTGTTGAAACGCCTTCTGTTGTAAGAATCTTTGTATATCACCCAAATCCTCCCAGCGGCAGAACAAAAGCACTTTTTGTGAACACATGATGAACTGAATATTTGCTCTGAAAGATTACGTTGCATCAGTTATGTGCCTTATTCACAGAGTTTTTTTTAACTTGCAGCTTTCGCAATGCCAAATTCACAATGCTTCCCACCATTGTTTACTGTTGCTTGGTAACAAAAGTTGGCTCACAGCATTTCCTCTTCCCTCAGTAGTGACCATATGGTCTGTTTGACTTGTGTTGAATTATTTATATTGGCCTTTTATTTTCAGAAAATTCACCAAAAATAACTACGTAAAGGAATCATGGCCCCGCAGCAGCAGCTCTGGATCAGGAAACTGTGGACTGGAAAGGATGAGTGATCACCTCCTCTGCCAATGTTGAGGACAAAGCTGATCTCAGAAGTCCCACCCCTTTTTGGTTTTGATTGGCTGGTGAGGGAGAAGTGACACAGTGTGTTCTAAAAGTTGATCTATTAGCGCTGTGAGTGCAGTGACAAAAAGCATCTGGCGCTGAGGGCGTTTTTGAGCTTAGGATCAGGATGTGAGCGGTGACGATGAACTAGATTGATTTTGGGTAGAAAGTTGGTGCTTCAAAAAAATGTCATTAGTGGAAACAGGCTCTGATGCTTATCTCCTGGCTTCAGTCTAAGAAAAACTATCGAGGCAATTCAAAAAGCTTTCATACATATGCGTCATGTGTGTCCCTAAAATATGTTAAAATCAGGCCTAAGTTTAGAAATGACCCTTTAATTTACCCAAAATCCTTCGACGACCACCATCCTGCCCTTAAAATATTTTCATCATTTATTATTCAAACTGCCGTGGGAATTCTGCAAAACTGATTATGTGGCATACAGCTGGGAAAACTGAATCTGTGGTGCATTGGGACACCGACTGTTCACCAGCTCACAAAGTAGATCATCATGTTCTCTGAGTTTAACAGGGTTAAGATGTTTTGAGTCATACGGACAGCCCTGGGGGATCATGCTCAAGGGCTGCAGTGTCGGCTCTTACTTGTGGGAAAGTTGTGGGAAAGTCTTCTTGCTTGGACCGGGATCGCAGACTAGAGGACAAAAAAAATAGAAAATAAAGAAATAAGAAAAATGTGGGAAAATATATTAGGCATGTCACTCTTTCTTTTTGGCATCTTGAAGTGTTTAAACATTTATCAGAGACAGACCTGCTAAGGAGATAGATTTTCTCTTATTCGCTGATTTGAATCAAAGTGGCTGCAAGTCAATGCGTCAGTATAATTGAATCTCCCTTTTTTAGTACTCTGCCTCCAGAAATAACTCCATGTGCATGTGATTTAATCGAAATCAATGTCAAACTAGCAAACTTTTCAAAAATAGCTCTCACTCTGAAACTCTGGCTAATAATCAAATAGAATAAATGGAAAGTGAATGTCATTACCCTTCTTCTTTTATCCACCGGCATGCCAGCAGCATTCAGTGCAGCAATCCTGTTCTCTATGTAAGACACCTTGGGGATGAAAATAGAAAAGAAAGTGCGTGTATTTACTGTTTCTGCATCTTTAAAACAGATTTAACATTCCCACTAAGCTTAACACTGCTGCTGGTTGGTCTTTACTTCACTCTGGGCGTTCTGGACGTTAGCAGCAGCTTGAGCTACCTGGTCCTCCAGTTCACACAGTAAGGCTGATGAGCCTTTGAAGCCTGCTGCTGGTCCCTCCTCTAGAGGGAGCCGCTTCCTCTCCAGACTGTCAGTCGAATGGTTTGTCTACGAGAGGAAGGTGAGGACAAGGGCAATGAATGTCTATTACAGAGTAGGTATTAGACGTGGGAATTGTCTGTCAAAGGAGAAATTTACGAGAGTACTAAAGAATAAAATGCATACAACTGTAATTCTTCATATTGTGCACTGCAAAAACTCAAATCTTAGCAAGTGTGCTTGTCTAATTTCTAATTGAAAATATCTCAAGACACTTCTTATAAGCCATTTTGTTCTGACAAGTCCAAACAAACATTGTATCTAAAGATATTAAGAGCAACTCACAGCAGCTGAAAATAGATAACTTTGCTTTGAGGGGAACTCACCAATCCATCTTATTTCAAGATATTCAAAGAAAAACATAAGGCTTCAATTTATTTTATTAAGAAGAAAGAAAATCTACAAATGGGACAAGAAGTCTAGTTCTTGAAATGAGATGTCTGAAGCTGAATTAAAATGTGTTTCAAGACACTCAACATGTAGAATTATATTGTGGCAATTTGTTTTATTTATTACACACAATTTAGATCTTATTGGCCTGTGTTAGATGTGTATAAAAGGATGTATTTCCTGTAGCAGTGTATTGTGTTCTTATATGATCTAATTCTTTTGAGAGATCCTTTTACAAATGGTTTAGTTCAAATTTCACTGCTTGCCCTGAATCCGCTTCTCCTTGTTCCCCTCCAGTCCAGCTGATGTCAGTAAAAATGCTTCTGAGCTGGTTTGGCTTTTGACAATGATCAATAAAAGCAACTTATTACATTGAGAACCAGCCAGTCACAAGATTTAGACCTGACTGTTAAAACACTAAAGCAAACTTGAGCCCTTCTCATAAATACAACCCTGAAGACTAAGAGGGAATTTCAGGACCGCCTGCAGGGAAAAGGACGCCGTGCAAGTCACAGTTTGTTTACAACATATCCAAGATTGCTGACAAAGCAAGAAAGTCTGACGCTATATGGGGATAGTTTTGCAGCTCACTCTGAAAATGTCTGGAAGTTTTTTTTTTTGCATGTATCAAAAGCCACAGAAGTCGTCCGGCAAAAATGTTAACTTCCTTGGTCTTATCTAAGTCCCTGTTCCAATAAGGACATCCATAAGTCATTCTATGAGAGGGACATAGTCATATGATTCAGATCCCTTTAAAGAGCCGTCATTCCTGTCACAAATTTCTAGATGAGCCATGTCATATAATAACAAGCTGCATCAACTCTTCCATTAACACAACATCCTGTAGTCTTAAATTATCTACCATAACTTAGTCAATGAGGCAGAATTTGATTTAACGCAAAGCAGAGCAGAAAACAAAGGCTGCTGGGACATCAGAGGTTTCATCACAGTCGACCTTTGACCCTGTCAGTAAAATGGAAACGAGATGCTGCAAAAGAAAAGTTTAGCTTTATAAGTTTGGCCCCTACATAGAAGTGTATCGACCTTTTTGTACAAGCCAGAGTGATATGAGACTTTAAATCATTAAGATGTGAACAGGCCTGAAAAAAAAAAAAAAAAACAGAACATTATATAACTACACATGTGAGCTCTGTAGCTTGGTTACTTTGAGGGAGAAAATGCCTTTTGAAACAGCTCAGACGATTTAGCACAGCAGCTGAAGAAGGAGTTATGTTTCTTGTCTGTGTTTCAGTGAATCTGGGAAGAACAGTTTTAAAGGAGAAGTAAATGCTGAGGCTGAGTGACTTGATTTACGTCTACAGTGTGTGCTCGAGCTGGATTCCAGAAGAGCTTGTATGGAATGAGCTGACTGTTTTTTTAAAGAACAGAATGTGCAACCATCCAGATGTGCAGCATGTATGTTTCTGAAGAACTTTCTGTCTTAACATGATGTTTTAACCCAGGAATAATGTGTGTCACACTGCATTCTCTAACCTTCTGTGAGTCAGTGCGCCGAGGCTGCTCTTCCTCCACTCTGGAGGTGACACTGCTGGTTCTGGACGTGGGTCTGGTCGGCAGTCTGGACGGTTTGGCATCCACCTCATGACTCCTCCATGCTGGGACTTCTTGGGAGGAGTGTGGCCTGGTGGACTCCTCTTCTTCATCGGAGGTCAGGCTGTGGTCGCTGATGTTGTCCGTCAGCTCGTTCAGCTTCTGCCTCAGCTGCTGCTCCTCTAAGTCCACCTCCTCCCACTGAGGGAGAGGAGAGGTGCTGTTTGGAGTCAGAGGAGGCTGGCTGGTCTGCAAGACCAGAGCAGAGAATGGCTAAGAGTTTGTTTTTATGTAAATGAGCTATCCTTTCTCACTCAGCATGCATACATGTTACACCATTTTGATGCAAGCTCTCAGCTACCCTCAGATTAATTGGTGCCCATTTAGACTCTGTTTTTATTTGTTTTGATTAATTGGAAACACAGGCCTTGTTAAAAACATGAAGACCAGCAGATGGACATAAAAAACGGAGTCAAAACTGAAATGCACTGACTCTTTAATTTCTGTGTTTTTATTGAGTGTTTAACCACTGGTTGTGACTGAATGGTAAATGGACTTGAGCTTGTATATGTCTTTTCTAGTCTTCTGACGACTCACCTACACACTCACACACTGATGGTAGAGGCTGCTATGTAGTGAGACCATCAGAAGTAACTTATCCCATTCATACACACTCATATGCCACCATATGCTAGCAATTCAGGGTTAAGTGTCTTGCCCAAGGACACATCGAACATGGGGCTGCAGGAGCAGGGGATCGAACCCTCGACCTTCTGGTTGAGAGACGACCGAGTCTACCAAGTGAGCCACAGCCACCAGTGAGTTTCTCAATCAGATAGGTAGATATTTTTGATTTGATTTTCAAGTGTTTGCTGGTAAATTTGATGAACTTTCCTTTTTGCGAAGTTGTTTGACATCATTGTTACTTAAAAGTTCATAAGTTTAGTTTCAGGCAGCAAGCTTGACCCACCTACAAAAATCCGCTATGCACATGATAAGGCACTTAAATGTATAAATTGCCTCTATGTGACAGACTGTGTGCAGCTTACCCTGCTCTCGTACCAGTACCAACAATGTTACCATGATCTTGAACAGAGAACAGGTTTTAAGACAAAGAGGCGACTCATACAGCACATGGATTCACGACAGGACAATAACTGTCCTGTTACTTTGCCGGTAAGAAGATCATTAAAGCAGACGTGTAGCATGCAGACTGACTCGATGAAACATGTGCTGCAATTGATTTAAAAATGTGGTTTACCACAAGAAAAGGGAGAGCACGAGTCTATTAAATATTGCTCTCATTTGAAGCCTTGCACCCACTAATTACCAGACTGAAGTTCTGTGTGTCTTTACGGTTTGCTGTTTTTGCGGGTACGTTCATTCTCCTCTAATGATATCGGTGTGGATTTCAGAGCTGGTATCCCAATTAAAAACAGACACAGAAGCCACATGAGACATCACTTTTGATGAAAGAAAGATGACTTTTAGTAACTGTGTCCCCCTCTTCATCACCATAAGGCTTGGACAATGAATTGCAAATAAATTAGCTCATTATTCGAAGGGCTCTATTTCTAATAACCAAATGATTGGATAATTAAGAAAAACAGATGACGGCATGTTTAAGTAAACAAAAAAGTAAGTTTAAAGAAAGACCACAATTATTCAAAAGTTGGAGCTGTACAAAGGGAAAGTTGGATGCACAAATCTTGGTTTCCAGAATTGCTTTCCACTTCTCTTAAGCTGCATTAAGTTTTATGTTTTGGCTACCTGGGAGCGTCATACGTGGCTTAAAAATAAAGTTGATATGATAAACATGTAAGCCAAACGCTGCCTGTCCCGTGGACACAAATAACTCCAGCATTCAGCGTTCACTAACTTAGTCCATCTGCAGTTTCTTTTTATACAGCTAGCATGAGGGTTTAGCAGTAAAACTTTCAATGTGAACTGGAACCAAAACACTGAGCTGAAATCTGCCTCATAATTCTCCATGTGTCATAGACACTTTGGATCAACCCTTTTTTTTGGTTTATTTTTGGGATATTTATGCTTTTAATTAGGGACAGGATAGAGTCAGAAACCAGAGAGAGAGAGAGAGAGAGAGAGAGAGAGAGAGAGAGAGAGAGAGAGAGAGAGAGAGAGAGTCAGAGAGTCAGGAATGACAATGTGGGAAGGGAGCTACAGGTCGGATTTGGACCCAGCCCGCTTGCTTGGAGGACAATAACCTCCGTACATGGTGAGCGTGCACTTACCACTAGGCTACCAGTGCCCCAGAGTAATCGTTTTTAATGTTTGATCAGCTTTTTGTGATATGACTTGAGTTCAGTGTTCACTCTTCCCAAAGTTCAACTTGCTAGCAGCAGGAACAAGTACAAATAAATATAAAACAACAAGCAGACCATCACCCTTCATATAACGTCTTTGTTTTTTTGCAAGCCCCATTCAAACCTCCTACAAATGTATGAAAACATGTGAGTCACTCAGAGGTCTTTGGAGTGACTCATTATAAAAGATGTGTGAAGATTGGGCCAAGTCCCAGTATACATCCAGTTCAGACTTCAGCGACTTAAATGAACAGCAGCTGTGCGTAAAGCATGAAAAAATGTGAATGCACGAGCGTGTCAGTGCGGTCTGAGGAACGGGACAGGATTTGGAACATGTTGTGTTCTTACACACATTTCTGCAGCCAGAGAAGTGAAGCGATTCATTTTCAGTTTTAGTTTCTTAAAAACTGAATCTCAGTGTTTTAAGTTTCTTTTTTACGTGTGATGCAATTATTGCTCTTGGAAATTAGCTAGCCATGCTAATCGCTTCTACCCGTTGCTATGGCAATGTCCATAAAAACAATGCTCCTGCCAGCTTGTTGAAAGCTTTTGGTTTTAAGTTTCTTTCTGGTCCTCGTGTGATTCCCATAGCTTCTGCAACAGCTGTGTGCAAGTTTGCAGATGATAATGATGATTATCTGGCATCTGTGGTGTGTGAGTTAGTCAGTTCACCTGGTCATATGGTGACGTGACCTTCTGCTCCAGGTGGTTTAAGAGGGTTTCGATGGCCGACATGCGTCTGTTCATGTCGGTGATCTGGAAAACGACAGGGAGAGTCAGATGATGAAGATATGAAAAAGACAGAAGTGTAGAGATAGTAGGCCACTTACAGATGGTAGAAGAATGGTCGTATAAGGAAAGATACCCAGACACATACATAACTTTAATTTCTGAAATCTCCCTCAAACTAACATCAAATCAAATGATATCAAATTCACGCACATTGAACCAATCAAATGACGTCTTGGACACACTAATACGTCTGTCAAATACAGATGGCCTTCTTTATCACCCTCCTGATAAAAGTCAAAGTCTGAGTTCTGAGCCTTTCAACTTTTCTGATTTACACCCAAATCTGATTTCACAATAATTCAGAGGGCCCTTTTAAAATGACTTGCACAGAATTAAGTCAAAATGCAGATAGAGAGTAAATCATTACGAGTAGGGGGAACAAAACACCACATGGATTATGCTTTTTCTGAAAATGTGAAATCAAACATTGGCACAATATTGAGTGAAGGTCTGGTAACTGTACAATTTATGTTAAATCCATCAAACCACACAGTGTGTCCTCACACCTTGTGCGTAAGAATCCACAGCTATAATAACCCTCTGCTCATTTGTATAGGTGTCTATAATTATTATGTCTCCATCCCTTATCTTTACTGCTTTTCCTGTTTGGGGTCGCAGGGGCTGGAGCTGATCCCAGCTGTCATTGGGCGAGAGGCGGGGTTACACCCTGGACTGTTCTCCAGTCAATCACAGGGCTGACAGATAGGGACAGACAACCAGCCACACTCACGGGCAATTTAGAGTCACCTCATGTCCCCTGCAGACTTTGCTCTCATCCACTCATCCTGATGTCTTTGCCACAAACTAAATCAAACAGAGTACGTCACTTGACTTTCAAACCTCGCTGAGCAAATTGAACTGGACGGTTTTCCAAATCAAGATCAAACCGACAGGATGCAACAGTCATACACAGGATGAAGGGCTGCCTTCTGAATAAGCTTCGACTTCACAGACAATGACAAATATCACGGCTGTGTTTGATGTCTGGCAGGCTCATGATCAGAGTGGATGCTTTCTGCAGGATCCTGTTTGTGTCTCACAGTGTGCTGCCCAGCTGTGAGAATTTGCCATGACATGGTGGAAATCCAAACAAAGCCAGGTGGGGCTGATAATGCCAGCCTTTCATTGTCATGGTTTGCTTCTAACACAGAGCTTTATGCTTTCTTTGTTTTTATATTCCTTATCTTTAATAACACCCTTCTGTTTAGAGTTATACCTCCATACTGAAACACAGAGTCCCACAGCATGCCTGGCTCAAAGACACAAAACCAGAGGGCACATGAGGACACATGTAGACTCAGTGGTGTCTGACTGCAGAGAGGAGAGTCAGCCAAACTTATGGTAAACAAAGTCTGCTTTTTATCTGCTTCCCATGAACAGAACAGTCATTGTGATCCTCTTTAGAGGCCGAGTTTTATGCTAACACATAAATAGACAATGATGTAATGTATGTATGAAACCACCCTCTGATCTAGCAGCTGTCTCTCTTTCCCCACTCGACACATCAACCTGATCGACTCGTGTGTTGTTCCATACGTGTCTGTGTTCATGTTCAGACAAACACTGTTGGAACTGGAATATCCAAATGAAAAGCAGGACACCAAAGTGAATAATTGCACATATCTCTACTAACATAAAGAGTTTTGTTCCAAATTCCTATTTTAATGCAAACCATCGGGCCACATAAGGTTGAGAATTTTAACGGCTTTGTTTACAGTGCTTTCCTACCCTTTATTTTTATGAAGCTGATTCTTTCCAGTGCACCGTGTTGTGGTGAGATCAGAGCTAATACTTCGTCCAAATACACTTTAAAGTGAAGTATTATTTTGTTCCACATTTGCATAATAACAGTCTTTAAAGCTTCACGATTATTATCCATACAAAATGCTCTTTATGGACCTTTAAACTGGACCATGGGCCACATATTGGAACATAACTTTTATAATGAGTCATTAAAAGATGTATTGGATGTATTTACAAAAGTAATGCTGCTCCATCATCACTTCTGGGCCTCCATACATGTGTGGTTACTGTGTCTGCAGAGACTCTGTCCTCTGACTGGATTTTCATGTTCTGGTTTGCTTTGGTTGACTCAAGAAGTTTCTGGGCGGGGAGCTGGTGTTTTTCCTCCAGCCAATGACAGAGTGCAGGTGAGTTTAGGAGTGGATACAATTTAGCGATTGGATGCAAGTTAAACCGGGGAATATGATGGGCGTGGATGAAGTGGAAAGGAAAAGAAAATCATCACGATGAGGCAAAACGCCAAGCGGATAAAACTTCAAGAAATCCCTGAAAAACTCATCATCCCCTACAACCAATTACAACCTTTCTCTCGTCCCCCTTCTCTTAGACTATTCCCATTACAGTTTGATTTTGTTGTAGTTCTTTGTTAAGTGTATGAGTATTCAGAAAAGCGCTACATACTGTAAGTGTAACCCTGATACTCTGGGGATCCGACCCCCCACCTAAAGTGTTGAATGAAGCATAATGTAAAAAATAGACTTTAATTGCATTACTGAGGGGTTTCAAAGCTTTGTCAATGTGAAAGACAGACGATTTTATGCTGTGAAAAAAAAGATAAAGCTATGATTCACACCTGTGGTGGAGGGTTGGATGAGTTCAGACTCTCCTGGGAGGTGTGGCTGCAGGGGCCCAGATGAGACTGGTACAGGGGAAAGTTCCGGGAGTGGTCTTCCTCCTCCCCCTCCTCCTCCTCAGAGTCTTCGAGACCCGGCAGATAGCTGCTGCTGTCTCGAGGACCCCAAGCACCACCGCTGCCACATGAGGAGTGACTGAGCCGGGAGATGGAGCGAGAAGGAATAGTCCGGTTGTCTGAGTACGCAAGATCGTCTACAAAAATAAAAAAAATATTTAAATTCAGTGAATAAAATAAGCAGTACAACATTACAATGTCTACTTAAGATGACAATATGGTCAATTATTTGTTTGTATTGTTGTTGGTTTCACTGGTTCTTCATGCCCTAAAACGTCGTTCTCTCAGTTGACCTTATTCTGAATTTAAGCAGGTTCTCCTTTTTTTCCCTTTAACCTCCAAACCAATCTCATTGCTCCTGTTTATCCAATTCCACAACAATTAAGGCCAAACCGGGAAAACCAAGGTCAAGTTTCCTAAATGGGTTAGCTTATGTATTTAGCTTATTAGCTAAAAACAGTAAAAACAAGTTAACATCTAGTGCAGCCTGTTTTTGCTCCAAGCTAGGAAGTAGCGCATCTCCAATTAGCTTAATTCAGTCTAACATCATGTAGACTAAATGTTTTCAACACTCCAGCTCACACTGCTAATGATGCATTAAGCAAAGCGATATGGCGTTGTGTGTGTGATCCCTTGTTCAGCCATGTCAATAAATTGTGCATTAATTAGGCTAAATCTCATATTTGGTTTGGTTAGAATGTATTGATAATCTCAGACAATGTTTTATGGGTTACATGAGCCCTGCGGTTAGGTGGCCATTATATTTTTATTACATTTAGTGAGATAGTCCGGATACATGAATTTGCTGTTATTGTCTCCATGTGTGTCTCCTTCCTTTACCTTGCGGTGAAGCCAGCTCCACCTCTTTGTGTTGCTCCACCAAAATCTGGTGAAAAACAGAGGCCATATCCGCCTCAGCCAGCCTCGACTCCCTCACACCTTCGTCTACGTCCATGATGTCATTAGAGACGGGGGCCTAAAGGAAAGAGGGAGAGGAGTGGTGAGTGCAGATACTTCTTCAGGATTAGCAAGAGATGAGTGTGAGAGAGGGGGTGAAGGTGGGCTAATTTTGATTGGTTTTATAGCAACGTAATAAGTGGCACATTAGCAATTTATACTTTTTTAAGGTTTATTTTGGGGCTTTTAATGGGTTTATTTTAGAGACAGGACAGCGGAGAGAGTCAGGCATCGTGGAGGCCGAGAGTGGGGAATGACGTGCAGGAAAGGAGCCGCAGGTCGGATTCGAACTCAGATCGCCAGCTTGAAGGATTTTAGCCTCTGTACATGGGCATGCGCACTAACCACGTGGCTACCAGCGCCCCCACGTAATTCATACTTAAGTTAACTGTTAAAAACACATCTTGACTTATAAAATAACAATTGACTAGTGTTGTTGTACTACCATTATCAACTGTGTTGGTGTTTAGTTTGCTGCTTTTGGTTGCAAATCTTGGTTTTCAGGGTTTCAGAGTGTGCATAGAGAGCCACTTTCCTTTCACATCCCCAGTGATAAAGCTGTTGTGAATTGGTTTCTTGCTTCTCGATTCTCTTTCAGTTTTGTAAATTGCAGTTTTGTCAGAGCATTGCTGTCTGTTCATAAGCTGACAATATGTATTATCATCTGTGCACAAGTATGCACATTTGGATTGAAACAATGAGAGAACAAATGGACAATAAATAATCACACTGGCTGTAATATAATAAAGACTTGCCAAACCAGACAAAGACAATTTTCCAAAGAAAGAAAACAGAAAGGAGTTAAAGAAGAAACAGACAGGGGAGCTCTTGTATAAAACAAAAACATGCAGATTAGTTCAGTTTGGGGGTAGATCTGGTTCTGGGATTGCTCAGCCTTTTACCTGGTTTGACCGTCCTCTGGAGTCTGAGGAGTATTTACGGCCCAGCTCAAAGTCAAAGGGATCAACAGGAAGCCTCCTTTTGGCCTTTTTCATCTTGGAGAGCAGAAAGAGAAACACTGTCACCAACAGAGAGGAGAAGATAAAGAGGTGGGAAAGGTACGAGTGTTATCCCAGAAGAGGGGAGGTGAGGGACGTTTCTGACCTCCAAATGTCACCAATAGCACTGTTGAATATTGTTATCGCCAAAGCATGACAGATGAACACCAAACAATCAGCACAATATGACACAGTCGACATCATTCCTGTATCATTATATCACTTACTGATCATTTCACCCCATCTCATTTATTGATACAGCAATATGCACTAACTTTTTTGATTAACATGGTGATCCAGTCTCCAAACAGGATCAATTAACTGATCACAAAAGCTGGCTCGGTTATCAGCATTACCCCAGACTCACTTGAGGACACCTTTGATAAGCAAATGAGGACCAAACTGAAAACTGTTTCGATCTTTGAAGGAAATCTTTTACACACTGTTTTTAATGGATTCTGAAGCTCCTTCAGTAAGCGACTAGTAATGCCTCAATGTTCCACTGAACGTTTTAGGAGGTCCTTTGTTCCTGCAGCAGTCCAATATTTTAATGAACATTTTTAGTTGTGTTTCTGACTCATGGCAAATGGTTTCAGTGGTGTTTGCTTTTTATTTACCGGTACTTGTTGTGCACTGTGATTCTACTGTCAGTAATGTTTGTTGTGTGTAAGAATTGACCAGGTGGCAAATGAATTACCCCCGCTGGGGATTAATAAAGTTTTCTAATCTGATCTAGTCTAATCTAATATTTTATTAAAACCAATTTATATCACTGGGTGGAATTATTACAACCCTGCAATGGCTAAAGACACAATGTTTTTCTTCTTCTTAGAGCATCTGATTATTGATTGGTGTCAATATGGCAGGATAAATGAAGACAAAACTGAAATCAAAATGAATGATAAGACCATGATCACTATGACACATAGCTGGGAAAAGGACTTTGGTGTTCAACTTGATGACCAAATGGTGCAAAAACAAGCTCAGACAGATCACATGAAACAAACTACAAGATAAATAGTTTAATAAATGACATCTCCTGAAATATGGAGAAAAAATTATGACACATACTCTGCAACAAGTTTGAAATCTCAAAATCAAGAATAGGCACATTTACCATTTAATGTGGTCATGTCCATAGACAGTAGAAAAAGGAGCACATTCAAACTAATCAATCTTCAGGTGCACAACCGCAAGAAAGACTCCAAGAACAGAACACGCAGTGAGGTGTTTCCAACGGTAGTACTGTGTTTGAAACAGTAGGGGGCACTGTGTCTAAGTGAAAATCAACAAGGCATGCAGGAAGTCTCACTTGGCCTTCTCATGGTCTGCCTTGTTCTTTCATTATTCAGAAGTCCAATCATATTAGATCTAAATCAAATCTAAATCAGGACTCCGAGTGGAAACAGAGGCAGAGCTTTCCAGAGACCCAGCAGAGCCCGGGAGTCCTGACACGCCTTTTCCCCCCTTCAACAGACCCTGCAGTGATTGAACATAAACAAAGTCCTGCTCCCACATTACACACAGACTGTGGTGTAAACAATAGCAGTTTTTGGTTTTATGATGAATTCCAGTGGACTCAATGCAGCTTTTTCTCAGATCTCTGGAGCTCTTTCAACTCTGCTCAGGCTTTTTTTATGTACATTGTGTATGACAGTGAAGTATTTACCCACAATACACCGCTGCAATTGCCCGTGCCTGACCTTAACCATCACTAGCTGTCAAAGCATTCCAGTTGCTTTTTGGGGCTGGTCTACATCACAAAGATAACCCGTGTAGGAAACACCTAGGCCTTTCAACAGAGGAAGGAGCTGACAAAGAGCAGTGACCAGAGCAGACCCCTGATTACTCTTTGATGTTTTAAGCAACATATGCATGCAAAATAAACTTTACAAAAATATTGATTTGTTAAGAGTTGAATACTTCAAAGAATGTTACCACCCATTTGTTTAACCAATCTATTTTTAGAAAAATGTTACTTAAGGTTACAACATTGTTTCCTGGACTCTTGGCCTTTTTTGAAGGTTTAGTTTAGTGGCTTTTAATGCCTCCACTTACAGATAGGACAGTGGACAGTCAGAAATCAGGGAGAGAGCGTGGGGAATGACAGCTGAAAAAGGAGTCACAGGTTGGATTCGATTCCCAGGCCAGCCACTTGGCGGCCAGCGGCCTACGTACATTTGGCGAGCAAACTAACCACCAGCCTTCCGGCGCCTGTAAGCTTTTTTAATAGGACACATTCAGATCAGGTAAGCCCTTCACAAGGATGTGTCCTTTTGACAAACTTTTGTCTATATCTAGAGCAATGGTTCCCAAACTTTTTCTGCAGGCCCCTCTTTAGTAAATGAAAATATTTTCCAGCTACAGGACAATGAGACCAGCCATGACCTCATAACGAGCAACCTTCTGAATTATTGAGAGGAGTCCTATCCTCAACGAAACATAACTTCAACAATGACTTAAAGGAAGAATGTGTGACTTTTTTATCCAGTAGATGTCGCCCTTGAGCACCAGCATGAAACCAAAACAAACTGCTGTTTGGCGACACCTCCTCTATTCTGAAGCCTTCGCTCTCCTCCAGCGGCACACCTCCAACCCCTGTCCCCTCCTGTTCACACAACGGAAGTATCAATTACAACAAATCCTAGTTAAGCTCCATTAAATGAAAGCTCTGGACAAAAGTGTCCTTCGCTCGAGCTGCAATTGCCTGTGGCGTGCATTGTGTGCATTGTGTTAGCAGGCTAATGTTAGCACTCTTTGGTTAGCTCATAGCTTCACGTGGCACATATGTAAATTGACACTGAATGACCGTGATTTAAAGACACTTACAGTCAGGGGTGGAGCAGCGATTTTAAAAGTGCGGGTGTTCTAATGCTAGTATATTACCACCCTCTAGCAAATCAACACATTCTGGTTCATTTAATGTCCAATAACTAAGTTTAGCTGACACATCATACAACAAGACAAAGTTACAAAATATTATAAATAGACACTAACTTTATGAACATCCATTGTGGAGTAACCCAGTTAGCTCTAAAAATTAGATTCAAAACTGCTCTTTGTGATGCTTTTATTTTGCTATTCTATTGCCTTATGCCTCAGTCTCTTTATTTCCAGTCTTCAAATATAATGTGCTTTTATTTTGAAAAAAATGCAAAGGGGACTTCCGCTACATCGTAAAGTTACAGGAGTAAATAAATACAGCTAAAATGACAACCAAAAGGAGAAAATGTTACACTTACGTTGTTTTGTGAGGTGGATTTATCTTAAAAACATCTGTTTGGGTGACTAACTCTCTTTCAGAAGGATGCTACATGTAGCATGTATCCATTTGTTAGCTCTGAGCTCAGGAGTGACAGGAGGATTACTGCTAAATGCAGGTAACTTTACTGTGCTTCAACTGTAACCGAACAGCTATGATTGGCTTAATTGTCACTTAATAAATCTTACTTGACTAATAGGTTTTCCTCAATGATTCCACTGGTAAAAAGTGTGGGGGATGAAAATACGTGAAAGTGGTGAAAGTGTGGGTGTCGCAACACCCACAACACCCACAGGTTGTATCCAAACTGTACTAACATTGCTCAGTAGTTCTTGCTGTGATTTAAAAAAACAATTGTTTACTGCATCAATCTGATTTCGCCCACCGTTACAAATAAAATAACCTACCAAACCCTAATCTTTGGAATTAAAAACAAGAATCGGATATGGCTTGTGGGTTTGCTGACATCTCAACATAGATTAGCAATCAGCAGACATGCTAGCATTTTGTTGTCCAAATACAAATTGATATCTATTTCCTGTTTTATGACGCATATCAATGGAATGCTCTCTGCAAACCGCAAGCTCACTTAAACTTAAGTGCCTACAAAATAGCTGCAAGATGGTTGCTTATTTAATGCTCTCAACAAGCAAACAAAGATTAGACAATTAGTTAGAGCGCATAAAAATGGACAAGAACAGCATGTTGTAAAACCATGAGAGAAAAAGAAGTTTCCGTACCGCTTTGTAGTGTTGTGAATCAGCTGCATCCATGCTGTGCTCCTCGTATCCATCTGCGGATAAAGAAGGCAGACATGTTGGTGTTAAAGCATGTTAAGATTAACTGAAGGACAATATACTGTACATGTAGTTCTATGATTTCTGATAAATAATGTGGTGCACATTTTAAATAATCTGGCTTTCCTCTTGGTACATGCATCTGCAAATCTCTGAGGCGAGCACACCTACATGTAACTTATAAAAACAGAGTTCAAAATCCTGAATAAAATGACATATGCATTCTGTATATGGGGCAGCATATTTTACAAAATTATGTCTGGCACAAGTGCAGCATTAGGAGGAAAGAATTGCACCATTGTATGTTTTCAGCTGCTCTTTACGAGAGTGTGAGTTTCGTTTCTGAGTAAAAGTTGCCTACTGAACTGGAAACAGAAATGGAAATGGAAGGATTGGGAGCTGCAAGGAGAAGAAGCATGTTCAAGATTAGCAGATGAACTGATAAGAGTTAAAAGCTTGTGCAGAACAACAACGTAGCAATCAATGTTCATGCACATTACTGTTCACGACTGTGATGAATATGAACTGCACAACTTTTGATATAAGTCGATTTTACAGCCATTTTCCACATCACTCAAAGAAGTTATTAATAAAAATGTATTGGAAAAATATCAAGACGGACAAGAAAATCTTTAAAAAGTGTTACTAGTGCAGCTACTAATGCTACTACTCAGTCCAAGTATAGTAATGGTATCATAACATTGAGTTTCCTGGCTCTACTCTTCTCTTCTTGATGTGCCAATGTGAATAAAGCCCGGGGAGAGCTGACTGTGCCAACCTAACCAGAACATTTTAGTCTGCTCCCAAACCAAAGTACCCACTGTGAGAAACATCCAGAACTGCAAGGCAAAAATCTTTCTAATAATCTAATAGGTAGAGTCAATTCTGAAAATACATTACAAGAGACAAGACAGGACTACACAAGAGAGAAGGAGACAATAGACAAGGAGACAGGACAAGATCATTTACAAGACAAGACACACAAGAGACAAGACAATGAAACAAAACAAAAGACAGGACAAGAGAGAAGACAAGACAAGAGATATGACAAGAGAGCAGAGAAGAAAAGAGAAGACCAGACCAGACCAGAGACTTGAGACCAGAGACCAGACCAGAGACTATATAGACCAGAGACCAATCCAGAGACTATAGAGACCAGAGACCAGAGACTAGAGACCAGAGACCAGACCAGAGACTATAGAGACCAGAGACCAATCCAGAGACTATAGAGACCAGAGACCAATCCAGAGACTATATAGACCAGAGACCAATCCAGAGACTATAGAGACCAGAGACCAGAGACCAGACCAGAGACTATAGAGACCAGAGACCAATCCAGAGACTATAGAGACCAGAGACCAGAGACTAGAGACCAGAGACCAGACCAGAGACTATAGAGACCAGAGACATCAGACAAGTGAGACAAGACAAGAGATGAGACGAGAATAAATGAGAATAGACGAGACCAGAGCCAAGACAAGAAACAGGGCAAGACAAGAGACAATACAAGAGACAAGATAAGAGATACAAGACAAGAAAAGAGAAGAAATAACTTTCTTTACACTGAAGGAAACCTTTCTGCCAGGTTGCTCCAACATTACAGAGAGTAACGCAAAGAGCATCACTGAAGTACAAAGAAAGACAAAGTGTATTATGTAAGTGTGAAGTCAAATTTGAAGGATGATAAGTTCAGTAAAAGAGTAAGATATGTATGGCAGTGACTTCATTACTGACAGTAGTACAAGCACTTCAGACCCATGCTCCTTTATAGAAGCTCTAGTGACCACAATGACATTTATTTATTTGTTTTTTAGCAAAGCTAGTTATCAGGTAAAAGGGATGGAAATGCCAGTTGGCCAAATGGACCACCACTTTGGTAAAAACAAAATAACTCAAACTCAAACAAAAGAAAGGCTTGCATAGCAGCCGTGTGTCTTTGTTTCAGGCTTGTAAGGGTAAGATTAGGTAAAAGCAGAAAGCTTCTGATTAGAGATGTGCTTGAGTTGTGTTGCCTTTCCTCATGCTTTAAATCAGTCACTTAGTTTATTGTAGTTATTGTGGCGACCCGACCTGATTATCTTTAATTACCTTCTCACTCTTGACCTTTATCTACTAGCATGGATATAAACCAGGTTAGCTTTAGTTTTCTTGCCATGCAGTTACTCTAATAAATAGCTCTGCAAATGTTGCTAATTTTTGGTAGTCCTTTCTTTTCCACATAAAATGATAATCAGAAGCAGCAGCTGCACTATTAAACTGGAAACCAGTTGAACACCTATTCCCTGTTTTTTTTTTAATTTTTATTGAACGTTTGTGAACAAAGACTCTTTATGTGAACGTTAGTCCTTGTGCACAAAGACACTGGACACAAAGTATGACACCCTCCGAGCTTTGGGGGCCCAGCGGACCTCAGCAGAACACATACAGTAAAAAAGACAGCACAAGAATGTGTGTGTGAGAGAGAGAGGGCGAGAAAGAGAGGGAGCGTACAGTCATGCATGTTGAATTTAATCCAGGTAGTCACGTGAATGTCTGCATGTGATGAATTGCTAATCATTTTAAACGCAATGCATCTGTTAACACGCATATTTATGATGTGTTTGGTACATATAACACACATCTGTGCGCACACTGTTAACTTTATTCCTCATTAATACAAGACAAACAAAAGGTTTGTTCTCCTTCCCTCTTTCTGTCTTTCTCTCTCTGCCTCCGGTTGGCTGAGCTCTGCAAGACTGCACCGTTCAATTCCAGGCACAGAATGGGAGACATGTGACTGGATGATCACAAGGCCCGCTGGGCTAAGCCAACGTGCTCTGTATCCTTTCCCAAAATCCTCCGGGGCGACTCAGCGTAAGCAGTACCAGGAGTCTCGGCTGTCTGCTCATAATTCATTGATCTCATGTTGCTATGATCTCACTTGGAGACCTGCTGTGTCTAATAATGTTTAGAGCCGATGCTGCAAGGGCACTGGTTTGAAATGCTGTGGGTGGGGCTGGAAGATATTTATCAATGCTGTGTGAGCAACTTCAAACGGAGATAAAATGGTGGTTTTGATATGCCTCATACAATCACTGTATTTACTGACTTTAAACATGAGGAGCAACATAAAAATTACCATCAGCATATTTTTCCTCTAGTAATTCAGTCTCAAGAGGCACAGAGGACATTTAAATGTCCTACAAGACAGAGTCGAGGACATAAACAGAACACTAGAGGACTTGGCCCGAGTCAGGTCCAGGTCCTGAGACAGAATAGTCTGTGACAGTAGTCGGCACAGCTGTGTGGAGCCAGTATTGGAAAAACAGAAAAGATGGAGGATATTAAATCCCTGTGACAGATTTGGCAGCCTCACGATAAATGCTTCCTATCTGAAGGAAACTTCATTATTGTGACTCAATGTCACAAAAATGAAGGATCTGATGGACAGGAGGCTAACTCATGAGAGGAAAACAACAATGTGGAGTTTATTAGGCTATCTATATTTCTGTGTTACATTTTTGCCTGGTGTCCAAATTAATACAACATTTTGGAGCCTCTTAAATGAGAGGCTTTTGGAAATAACGTTTGGGGGCTGATAACTGGAGTGAGCTTATGTGGGTAAAGGCAGAAAAAAGACTTTATGTAAAATAGCAACAGGCACCATTCGCTTGCTGATTGGTCCTTATTAATCACTGCATCCTTCCCTGGTTCATTTTGCTCATTACATCAGCCTCAACTTGCAGAGTATCTCCATATGAGTCAATAGAAACAGATGATTCTGACTTGTAGCAATGCCATTCTGTGTAATGTAATGTAATTGAATTTATTCTATTTAATAGTGAAGTTGCAATGGAACATAACTCAATACAGAACACGAAACTGAGCTGCTGCACAGAGAGTTTGCAGCTTTTATGTTAATGCTAATGTTGAACTCTTGTTCCTATTGGGCCAAAAAAAAGAATGAAGACATCTGTTTGGAAACGAAGCTGTGTGAGAGTAGCTATTGTAAGGTTTTGGGAGTGTGTAGAGTACTGCGGCCATTGATTCAAACCATTTTCACTATTCACTGGTTGACATTTAGTTTGTACAAAATAATTAGCATAGCAACCTTGCAATATGTTCATGCTACTTCAACAAACTTGCAGTATCCTTTTACAAAAATCGTGCGACTATCTTTCTTCCAACTTCTGAATTTGAACTTGAAAATTGACCTTTTTTATGGTACACTTGTCATCGTGATGTTTCAGTAATTATCCGATGCTGGAGAGTGATTCAGATGTCTTATGAATATTTTCCATGCAGTAACAGTCCAGCCTGCAGCTGCTGAAACTCTTTGAATCCTTTCATTTATTGTGGATTTCTTATGGTAAGCTAAACTCAAGCAGACTTCAACAGTTCTCTGCAGCATCAACTTCTGACCTTCAGCTCCTCCTGAGTGGAATGAACGGAACAGATGGGAATTTGTTAAGGTCGTCCCTTCAAAGCAACCTTGACCTGAGAACTGACATTCTGCCATATTTGTAACCTTTTGATTAGCATGCTTTCTCATTCATACAGACGTTCTCACACGGCAGCTGCTCAGAATAACCCTGTGCAGCTCCAGTCAGCTGGTGCATGTTTAAACTCTTCGATGAAAGACCACAGGGACAGGATTTAAAAATTAAGGCACTGTTAGTCATTGACCAGGCATGCACACAATATGTCCTCAAAGCACAACTAATGTCAGCAGAATAAAGCATTTCAAGAACTAATTAACAAGTCATCCTGTACCTAAAAGTACCTAGAAAGGCCTTTTAAAGGGAGAGACGAAGAACAGAAATACTTCTGACCTTCAAGGTCATCCTGGGAGTGACTGTGTCCTCCGCTCAACCTCTTGAACAGCGATCGCATCACTTTGGCACTGCCGAAGCGCTTGAAGCGGGCTCGAACATTTTCATGGTACCACTCCAATGTACCGATCTTCAGGACCCTAAAGGAAAGAAGAGAAACAAAACACCAAGGACTTACGGAAAACGTACAAAGGAATCGCTTCTTTTCACACAGATTTCTGGACTGCTGTATTGAGGCCTTGAGTTTGACATTTTGGAATATGGCTTCTTGTTATCATGTACTGCATCCAGCAGAGTTTGCACAGTAAAATAAATCTTAGCTGCGTCAATAAAAATTGCCAAAATGTCCATCAACGCTGCATGTGCTGTCAGAGCGAGCAGGAAAAACACACTGAACCTCAAAGTGTACACAGAATATGGGTTTCTCTGTTCCACAGGGACCTGTTATGTAATGTAGCTGTTATTTGTTAGAAATTTCAACAGTACTGACCCAAATGATGCAAATGACTTGCATACTGCACATTTTCTGAAAAGTGGCGCAGGTAAAAGACGGAGAGGATGGACTTTTCTTATAATTGGTGGGTTTGTAGACATGCTAGGGACACATATTACTGTTCCATAAACATATTATTGTATCAGTGTATTTTTCATAATTTGTGGCCTCTAATGTGAGACCAAAATGTTCTTTCACAAATCCTTTAAATGATTACTTTCTCAGTATCAAGCGGTGAACAACTGTCTTCAAATGGCTGAGGTTACAAAAATGATCCCTTTTACAATTGGATTTCCACTGTTTATTGATGAGATTTTTCAGCTTTCGTCCAAGTCTCTGTCCTCGGTTTGAACCGGTTCTCAAGTTTCCATGTGTTATTTCCTACCTGGCCATGCGACAGGGGTCACACACCCAGCCCTGCTCCTTCTTGTTGTAGCGGCTGCAGGACTTGCAGGTGTACAGCTGACAGTCCAAACACTGACGCTTGCTGTTGACCAGGAACTTGAAGGGCTGGAGACATCGGATACAGTAGGACTCGGTCAGGCTGCTCTGGTTGCCCAACAGCTCTCTCTTGGTGTCTTCTTTTTCAATCTTGGTCTTCAGGTCCCTAAAAAGAGACAAAGTTAGAAATACAGAAATGTAAAAACAGGGTTCAACTGTTGGATACATTTTTTCTTTAATATATTGTATTGATACCTCGTCCCAAAGTAAGTAGGAATAAATACTTTAATTTTAATTAACATGAATCAAAAATCTGAGCAGGAACATTATAGAAAAGGCAGAAACTGCATTTTTCCACATAAAATGCATTTCTTGAAGGTTAACAATTTTATTGTTTACAGAGTCACATAATAAAGTCTTGTAGTAAATACTCAGAGGCACCCTGAGCCACAACAGAAAATGGCTTTCCACTTCAGGTATCACAGAAAAGTGTTTTTTACTGACTTTCTAACAGGACTTATTGCAATTAAATATTGTTAATGGGCAAAATTACCACCTGGTGTACTTGGCTTGATAGATGTGTAAAATTAAAGGAGGGTTCATGTAGAGTTCTACTGGTACAAATATTTGCTGTACAGCTGCAACCTGCTAGAATAGAGCAACTGTGCTTATTTTGTTTGCTGTAAATTCAAGCACTTAATCCATACATCCAATATCTATACCGCTATAGATATTTCCGTTAGTGGTCGCGGGGGGCTGGAACTGATCCCAGCTGTCATTGGGTGAGAGACGGGGTACTCGCTGGACTGTTCGTCAGTCAATCACAGGGCTGACATATAGAGAGACAGACAATCAGCCACACTCACATTCACACCTATATGGGCTATGTTAGAGTAACCAATTAATCAAACGAGCATTTCTTTGGACTGTGGGAGGAACTTATGCATGCACGGGAGAACATGCAAACTCCACACAGAAAGGCTCCTGTCAGACGAGGATTCATACAAGGAACGTTCTTGCTGTGAAGCAACAGCATTGACCACTGCTCCACCGTGCATCGCCATTAGTCACTTAATCTTAGTTAAAGTTAATTAATGACAGGTTTTAAAAAACAAATCTTACTTGGAAACTGCCATTCTGGTACAAAGAGAAAGAACCAAACTTGTGCTTTCTGCATCCAGCACTCAGCTGAAGAGACCACACAGAAATACTGAGCCGGAGAAGGATTAAATGCTTTGCCAACATTTTTTTTTTACAATGCTTATTAACTCCTCCCAAAACCACAAATAGGATTTATGTTTGCATTGGTCCATAAACTAAGACCTCTAAAGAGGTGTGTGTATTTTTTGTTTTTCAACTTTAGTCAGAGGCAGGCTAGTTTTCCCCATTTGAGTGTTTATGCTAAGCTAAGCTAACCATGTCCTTCACTACTTTTGTCACTCTCTGCAACAGAGCAAAATCACATGAAGTACATTTGAAGTTACATCTCCAAACCACTGCACTGGCCTACTTTTTATTTTTATAGATAACAAATAAAACCATGTTTAATTTCCTTAAACAGAGAATTTATGAGTCAACATGTTGGCTGGATGTTATGTGTAAAGAGATGGTAGTCAGCACACGGATGACAACGCGTGGCTTCATTTGGCAGCTCTGAGTAAATATAATGCTAGCCATTTTAAACAGAGAAGTCAGTAAAAGCTGAAGGAACTGGAAATATTTAGTTCTGTGGCTACAAATAAGATTAAACTGTTGAGATGTGAGGCCAGTAAAACTGAGCATGACCTTTTAGATCTGTATCTTAAGCTTTCATAACACTTTATGCCGTTATTAAGCTATATAATATCCATGTGGCATTGCCAGAGGCATTGATGCAAATTACTGCATCTAGGGAGATTAAACTAATGCAGTGTTAGTTTGAGGGAAATTTAGGCATACGGGGATAGGTTATTGCTCCTATATGCAAGCTTTTCAGTCCGACTAATGCACGATCACTTGGAACTCAGATATTGCCAGATCAAGGTGGAAGATCTACGTCCTGTTACATCTGCGATCTGTAATGCACTGCGGCGGAATAGTGGGGCAAAGTCGTTCTGCCCTGATCCACCATTAGAAATAGTAACCGAGGAGTAATAGGGGAAAATGATGGCGATGTGTAATGTCAGGGCTGGCAGGGTGGAACAGTGCTGTATGTGTGTGTTGGGTAGAGTTTGTGTCCTGTGTGTTCACTCGCCATGCATCTTACACATCTGCAACACCGTAACATAGTGTGAAGCTACACAAATAGGAGACCAATATTATGGCGTTAAGGTTGCAGTGTGTAAGTGCAAAAGCATAATGAGGGCGGAACGGGTTCCTGACCTATAGGTCAGCTGAGGTCGCTACAACCCTCCACAGCCAGCAAAAGGATAAGCACTGTAGACCGTGGATAGATGGAATTGGCCCTTTAACCTGACCATTAACACTTCAAGAGTCCTCCTTTAGGACTCTTGAAGTGTCCTCCATTCCTTTAGTTGACATATTCCAATTATGATTGTAAGTGTAAAACAGCGAGGCTCCTGGTCTTGATGCAGTCTCTGCCTGTCCTGGTCTACATCACACACAAAAAAAGACTCATTAAGTCTTGTCTTGATCAAGACTTGTTCTCAGTTTAGGTGGTCTGAACAAAACACCGAATTCTGGTTTTATCAAAGCCTCATATTATCTCAGAAACCTCCTCAGCGAAAACCATACCCCTCTGTTTCTGCTACACACAGGAGAAAAGAGCAGCACAGTGTGGTTGGTTTGTACACTACAACAGTGGTTCTTAACTGGTGGGTCTGGACCCATTTTCAGTGTGTCTGTAATGTGTGCCTGGGAAAAAAAACGTGTGTAAAAAAAAAGTGTGTGAAGCGCTTTTTAAACATGTTAGTTTAGTTTATTGCTTTTTCACATGTTTTGTATCAGATGAGGTCCAAACTACACAATTTTTCATTAATACATCTGATTGGTCGAAAAATATCAGAAATTAAGTTGGTGGTGGGCAGTGGCGATTCTAAAGTCCATCAGGGCCCTAGAAAAAAATCAACTGTGGGGCCCTCAAACCAGCGTCCATCACCATCATGTCTGCCAGTGTCCCGACGCGTAATCCTCTTTTTTCTTGTTTCTTTTGCTCGCCTGTAGACGGATTACTCCTTTTAATTTGTCTTTGTTGACTTTCATTGGCAAACTTTGGTTTTCACAGCAATAGTGCATGCAATGCTTAGCAGGGCAACGAGGGTGAGTGCTGTCAGATGGGGCCCCCTTTGGGAGGATTCCTACAGTCATTGCAAAATTTGCACATTTTGATCCACTGCTTTGGTTTAAAATTATTTAGCCCTCAGGGGTCCCCTACTGGTCTGGGGCCCGAAGCAGTTGCCTGCCTTGCCTTTTGACAAGCAGTGCCTTTGGTGGTGGGTCCTGAGGCTAGGCGAGTTGAGAACCACTGGTCTAGAAGATCTTGGGTTATAATAAGTTCTTCCACCTTATCATTACAGTTAAGTCATTATATTAGTATGAAACAAACCAATAATTCAAACCTTTAAATTTCCTTTATTTAAATCAACACTGGTTTTGTTACTGTAATCACTTACAAGTAAAGAAGTATTTGCAGAAAATCACTTTTCTTGTTATGTTTCAATGACATTTAATTGTGCAATGTTTTTGTAAAAGTACATTTGTGGTGAATATTGGTTAAAATCTCTTTCTGCAGCCAATTACTAAATCTGTACAATGCTAGAAGTTCTACAATTATTCAGTCTTATTCTGCACAAAACCCTAATAAGTAATGCCAAATCCTATTCCAAGAATAATTTTCTCTTCCTCTGTTTCACTTGGCTGCTCCTTACACTTGTCTCATGTATGACTTCATTGCTTTGAGTCGGAGCATCTCTTCAGCAAAGTTTAAAGTTAACCTGAGCTGATGGGGGAGTAACATCTTCGCTCAGCGCTCTGAGATACTGACAGTAGCAGGGAGGAATAAATCTCAGATAACAATTCCCAAATGTCGCTCAGCGTGGGTGGAGTCTGGCACAAACACCCATCGAGGATCAGAGGCAACTTATTGTTTATTAAAGCTTTTTCTTTTAAAGCCATGCTTTTCAAATCATAGCCCAGATCATCTGAATAAATAGGATCCTTTGTTAGATTCACATAACCCTCTGCAGATACAGCTGCTGACCATTAGCGATGTGATCTAAAAGTAATATCTGTAAAATCTGCCCTCTGAGACATCTGATCCCACAGATCTGGTGTACAAGAACCCTCTCAATGATTTACATTAGATGAGTGCTGCAGGATACCTCTTAACCTTCTAAGTGCTAATAAAACGCTGGCAAGGTCAAATATCAAAGACGAGTGCAGTGGTTAACTATTATCAGAGTGACTGAAACTAGAGCAGGGACTTAACAAACAAAGCATTTCACAATGCACATGTTAATTATTTTTTAACGCCAATAATTGAGCCTTTATTTGAAGGTTATTTGTTTTCCTCCTCATGCTTTCATGCTTAAAAAGTGAAAATCATAAATCTGATATATATTATATATTACATATTTTACTCGCTAAAAGTTTAAATAGTGATATTCTCGGTAATAAGTTAAACACTTCAGTATTTCCTGAAAATCCTGACTTTTCCTCAGTATTTAATTAAAAGCAGGAACTGCAGACATTTAGCTCAGCTGGCAGAGTTCAGGAATTTGGGTGCAGCAGCCAGATGTTCACTCAGACACGGACAGTTGTGAAGACTTAATTTACCAACTGTTACTGTACATCATGATCTCCTCTCCTTCTATCCATCAGCAGAAACAGAAAACTTTCATAGTTTTAATTCACCTCCAAAATTAAAGGTCACATAATATTCTCCCTTTCAACCAGTTTAAATAAGTCTCAGAGCTCCCTAAAACATGTGTGTGAAGTTTCTTGTTCTAAATCCACTCTGATCCTGTATTTGATCATGTCTATAAGCCCCTCTATTTCAGCCCTGCTCAGAACAGGCTGTTTCTGTGTCTGTACCTTTAAATGTAAATGAGCTGTGTCTGACCACGCCCCCTCTCTGGAAGGGCTTGGGGTGTCTCAGGCTTTCTTGCTCCATGTCCTATTGTTTACGGTGAGAAGGCAGACTCAGAGGGCCGAACAAACACCTAGCTGTGGGAGTGTCACCCACCTGGGGTGCTCTAAAACAAGTCTTAATTTGAGAGTTTATCTCTGGGTTCTCTATGTTCTGACACAATAGTCTCATACTCTGTCCTCTCCACCCTCTTAAACAGCTCTCAAAGTTATCATCTAGAACATCATGCGGTTAGTGAAAGTTATAATGAGAGACATAAAAAGAGAAATGTGCACACACTGTAACGGGCAGACACAGACAACCCAGCCAAAAACACAATGTTCTCTGGAGAGAGACAAGTCAGCTGCACCATAGCTTTGTAGATAAGGTTTCACTTTGCTTAAAGGGACAGCTCAGAACAAATGCCCACAGTCTGCATCACTCACCACTCAGAGCTCATGTACTGAACGTGGATATTTCACGGACCTTATTCACAATTTCACAAATTAAATTGAAAAACCGGACGTGCCGCCTACAAAGTTTCAAAATAATGATAAGCCAACTCTATTTAGTTATACTATAGACCCAAACAGCTGATCAGTGTGCTTCAGACGGAGGATCATATCAAAGGTCAACAAGCACTTTTAAAATTAAAATAAAAAGATCATCTCATGGCAAGAATAGTAAGCGTAGGTACAGGCACAGTCCCTTCCACACAGCCTCGCACAGTCATAGTTGAGAAATAAACCTCAAACATCTCATTCAGGCTGCATGCAGCAAAAGCAATGAAAACATACTGATAAAGACACATAGAGGCTTTGGTGAAACAGGGTATAACAGTGAGTCTTCAGGTATTTTTAAAGCAGTATAGAGAATCCATTTGTCTTATATGTAATGGCAGGTTGTTCCACAGTCTTGGTTGCCGCTACAGAGAAAGGCACTGTCTCCGATCATTTTTTGATTTGATGGTGGGATAGTTAGAAGTCCTTGATCTGATTATCTGAGGGGCCGAGCTTTTAAAGAGTTCTGTGATGTAAATTGGAGCGAAGCAATGAAGGGTACAAAGATATTTTGGTATGGGATTCTGGACTGGACTAGGAGCCAGTGGAAGGAAGCTGATCAAGGTGTTATGTGATCCCTTTTTTTGCATCCAATGTGATGTGCTGAAGTAGGGCTAAAACAAAGCGGCCTGTTCGTGGAAAAGTGGGAATTTTCTCAACATGGTGTACATTAACCCTGACTTTGTTTTTTAGCTTGGTGTTTATTGAATTTATCTAAATTATGTGGAGCAAACAATCCTGTCTTCATAGTCATCTAGCCTAGCTTTTGTGCCGGTGCTCATGCCGGCCTCTCCCTAAAGGGGCCACACTGTCCGTCACATCCAGTGGCTCATATACTTAGTACGGCTTTAAAACAAACAGCTGTTAACCATAAAAGTTTTGTTAACTAGATAAATAGATAGAGAGGGACAGAGACAGATAGAAATAGGATACGTCTCCATTACTAAACATTTTTCACGGTTAAATAATCTGCTGCAGCTTTTTCAGATGAAGAATTTTCAAATGTTTAAAGTCAGATGACCATCGACATCAAGTATTTTTTATTTTAATGCATCATAGATGGAAGTTTTCTGCATTGCTAATTGCATGAAAATAGATTAAAATAGGATATATGAAGCCTTGCAGCAAATAGGAGGTAAAAAAGGGTAACAAAACAAATAGATCTAAAACGTATCGGCTACTCAAAGTATTTATTGATGACATTGTCACAATTCTCACTTTAAAATAAAGTTTTAAACACATTTAAAAAAAACGGAATGACATCTGTTTTTTCAGTGTATGTGTTGATGGAAAAACAAAGCCTATACCGAAGTATGCCAAAATAATTGAAATGATCCAACACATGTGGTTTAACAAAGTTCAGGCATGACAGTTTTATATGTAAACCACATGAGGATCTGTACCTATTTTAGGATCGCAGACGCATGGGAAGAAAACAACAGTTGACTCAGCGGCAAAGAACGGCTCATTAAAAACAGAAAACAAAATGCAGAAGAGAAACTTTGGCTGTGAGCGAAGCGTAGGGTTTGAAATGAAATGACACTTATAGCATCAGACAAAGACGCACGGCCATGTGGCAAAAAAGGATCTACAGGAAGTGTTCTGAATGACTTCATAGTGTCTTCAAGTCTACACATTTTAAAGTCTCTCAATGAGATATGCAAGACAGAGCAGAAGTATCATCCTAAGCTTTTTACACAGAGACGCCTGTGGTTTAGTGGTAGAGCCGGTCGTCTCTTTACCAGAAGGTCAGGGGTTCGGTCCCCATCAGTCTGACAGTGTAAACATGGGTCACTTTCATATGTGGAATCCCACAGGAGGCTGATACAGGCCACATTTAAAAAGCAACATGAACAGCCAAACAAACAAAAAACATGTTTGAGTCACAACACAAGAGTATAGACCCTGCTAGAGTCCTACTTCTGTAGTTGAAGGCCATACACACTTAAAATCTGACTTATAAGAGCATCAGTTAGGAGGAAGTTGTGATGTTTGAATCTTTACTAACTGAGGAAACATCAGCGCAGAACTCTTTTTACACACTCACAAAGTGTACTTGCAAAAATACAAAGCCATGTTATCACACTACGAGTGTGCAGTTACCAAGTGGCAACCTCCAGTCTTGAAAAATGAAGCCAATGCAGAGGTGCAAAATCCTGCAGTTTGTCGAGTGTCTTCTTGATGCTGGCTCCAGGATCACCAGAAGTCACATACAAACCACAGCCAAAAAGCAGTTTTTACAGCATAAACGTGTTTACAGCCTGGTACAAAAAACTAAATAGTTCTGATTAGTTATTGTCTTCATGGACACACACTGTAATGTGATTTTCTTCTCAATGGCTCTGTTTTGATTTTGAAACCGATACGTGTTAGCTATAGTTAGGTGTGTGTAGCTGTCATGATTGACAGGTGGGCGTGAGGTAATGGTTAGTCAAGAGGCTTAGAACTTGCCTCAGCTCAAGCTCTCAGCCTGTCGTTAGGTTAACTAAGGGCGCGGTCACACTGGCCATCCATACCGTACCCAAGCACGCTTCAACCCTAAAGTCCAGTTCGTTTGGCCAGTGTGACCGCTCCGTGCCGTGCTCAGTTACAATACTCTTCCTTGGCTTTGGCACACTTCGGAGAGGTGTGCTTCGGCACGGTACACTTCATGCACGAGCACAAGCACGGGAGTTCACACGCCTTCGGAGACATACTGTATGCCTCTCAGAGCAGATGCAAATCTCTCTGTATTTCCAAACCCAGCAGTTAGCATAAATGACTTTCAGGCAAGACTCATTTAAACCAAATATGTGCTCTTTGTCTTCACCCACACCAGGTAAATTTGGTGACTAAACATTGCTGGGGTGCTGGTGGTGAAGTGATTAGTGCACGCGCCCCATGTACAGAGGCTATTGTCCTCCTAGGGGGCGGCCCAGAAAATTATAACCTTGAAGTTTTTATTTTGAATGTCTAGGCAGGGATACTATATTTATAGGTGCTTGGTTAACTTTGGAGATCTACAGTATATGTGAAACACTGACTCAAAGATACATTGTCAGATCCTGGGTGATTTTGACCTCTGACCTATAGCTGCTGTACCGAAGGTAGAGGGTTTGAAAGTGGTTCCAGCAGTAAGACCAAACCTTGGCTTCCTGTGTTGTGTAAGAGCCCTGGGTCATGTTGACCTTTCTTCAGTTAATATGACCCGGCAAGGCAAACATGTGAGCAGACGCTCAGTGAGTAAGGAGCAAACGACTGAATCATCATCTGTTAGTGATGTAACAGGTTCAGCACAGACTTCAATTTATATCCGCCGATCCTTTTTTGCTAAATTTAGACCAAACATCCGTCTTCTTCTCTCAATTATCAAGACTGCAGACAACCAATTAAAATCATTACAGGCTTTGAAAACAGGACATTTGATTACCGACTCTCTGTGTTATGTGAGCTATATGATGCTGTAATATCATATCAATAACTACCTGAATATATTAGCATTGAATAAGCTCTGTGCTTACTGACGGACAGATCTGTATCGAACAGAAATTAAACAGATATGTGTGATTTCTTTTGCTCACCCGAGTCTGTCCTCCTCCTTCTTCCTCAGGTCGAAGTCTCGCTGGACGACGGCCCACACATGTTTGGCCTCCTCATCAGTGAGCTTGGAGAGGTCCAACTTCTTCGCTGGTGTGGTGCCGGGCATGATGGTTGTGATGGATTAGAGTCAGCACACAGACTGCTGCTGATGGGACAAAGAAGGAGAATAAAACACAAAATGTTGTTCCCAAGGTTTAGCTCCTAGTCAAAATGATCTCCAGCTTGCATCTGTTTTGCACTACCAAAAATCATGTGAACAATAAGGTGCTTATGCTAACAGCCTGTGAAAGTTAATCATTTGGTCAGGGACGTTCATGGTATAAATTAATGTAACATTGTAGAGGTTGGTTATTGATTTCTTGGGAAGAGTTTGCACATGAATGCCTCTGCACTTTGTGGGAAAAGTTAATGGGGCTCTTGCAGTCTGAGTTAGACATCTTGTGGAGGAGCAAGTATTTTGTTACAGTGATGTGTTGTCACTTTTTAAGTTTCTTACTTTCAGCCTGGTTGTCTCTCTCCCTGGTTCTCCCTCCTCCCAATGTTTGCTGCACACCTGAGTGCACTCTGCAGTCAGGGAGGAGGTGGAGGATTTAGGGGAGTAGGTAAGTTTCGGCCCTCATGGTTTGAGCCTTGATTTTGCCAAGGAGACTGTAACCCAATTCAATCCTAAAACGTGGAAATGTAATCATCCAAGGGTGCACTCACACTAAGCAGTCCATACCGTGCAGAAGGATGTTTGACCCTCAAAGTCCAGTTTGTGTGACTGGTGTGAGTGCTCCGTATTGTGCTCAAGCACAGTACATTTCCTTAGCCCTGGCACGGTTAGAAGAGGTGCGCTTCGACATGGTACAGTTGCTGATCGATAAGCACAAGCATGGGGTATGTAACCTGGACATGATGTAAAAATTGATCGGCGCCTTGCATCATAGAGAAATCCAGGAGTGTTAGAAGGCCATATGTGATTGAAACGACTCGAAATAAGGCATAAAGTTTGCAAAGTTGCAGTCATCTTCTCTGTGTTTTTCTCCAGTGTGCTGTCTCTTACCGGTTGCTAACTGTTTCTGTCTGCAGTTTATCATTGAACAGGTCAAGTGCAATTCTAGAAGTTTTGTTTCACTGAAATCAGCAGACAATAATAATTGAATTCAAGAAGAGTCATTGACTTTGGGTATTTTATCTAAATAAGGTGCTTAAAGTTCCTCTGCAACATGCATTTGTCCTGTGATCGGTGGAGGTCTGGCACCGATCCACCGTCACATTGCTCAGGAATCATAATCACGTTAAACTGCCCAAAACATTCACATGGTCTATTCATAAGGCTCTGTTTTTAGAGGATGAGGTAACTCCACTCAAGCAGACAAAGCGACGCACACATGAACACACACACCTCCACACAAACAACACCTCCACGCATGCAAAACTCTGATATTCTCACGGAGATGTACAGGAATGCTCAGAGACATCACATAATTGTCTAATTGCCTAATCTAATTTAAGCCTCTGCAAGTGGTCAAAACAAGCCAGCAAGTCTCATCTGCAGGAAGAAACTTACTAAAAAACATTTGAGTCATCCAGCTATACGACATATTGCTTAAACATTCCCACCCTTCATATCTTACACTTGAATAACAACGAGCACCAAAGCTGTATATTTATATTTGCTTAGTGGGTGTCACTTGGTCACATATCGTTCTCTGTTTCCTTTAGGAGACATGATAAAAAAAAACAAAAGAACATGCCACTTGTTGTGTTTCCATCTTTTTTATGAATGATTTTTTGGACTTTTTACTTTTTTTTTTTTACTTTTACAAGAAGAACAGAATCATATAGCCCCCAGTAAACAAAAGAGTTTCTGATCATTGTTCATGTAACACTTGACACTCGACAGGTGCACATCTGAAGGACTCCCTGTGTTTGCAGAAGGAGGGTTCACCTTGATATCACCTGTGGAAACCTGGAACAGTTTCACGAGCTTAAATTCTTACTTTACTCCAACATAAACCACTCTGGCGCTCTGAGAGGTGAAAATGGCAGAAGAGGCCAGATCTGCATATTTTTGCTTGATGCCATGTTCTTTCCTCTTCTTTGGATATTTTAGTGTCTTATTTTTGCTAAATGGTTCACAGATATTGAGCTTCACCTTAAAAACTGTCCTCAATTCCTCTCTCAATTTACACTAAAGAAACTCCAAGATAAACTTAAACATCTGCATTAATAATTGATATTATCTGTTCAGCCACACTATGATTCAATAAAAGTCCTTAATTAGCTTAATGTCATCTTTTTAAAGCTCTCAATGTTCCTAATGTTCTGTTTTTAACTCTTTTAGTTGCTCTATGTATGATTTAAGCTTCATAAATAAACTTGCCTTGCCCTTTTTCTCTTTTAAATACATGGATGATGTCTCGCATTAAAAGTTGGATTAGTTTGGGGCAGACGTTTGGTCCAACAAAATGAGCCAAATCTCTGTCATCCACTGAGAGACTGAGCAGCACTAATCTTAAAAACAAAGCAACATAATGAATATCTGTAACCTCTGAGACAAAGCAGCATCCACCTCCTTTCATTTTTTTGTCAAAGAATCTTTGTGAATCTGTCTTACCTTGTTGTTGACAGAATAGCCTGCAGGCAGTATTCCCTCTGAAGGCAGAGCAGGCGGACTGGAGGGCAAACTTGGTAGCAGACAGAAATGCTAATCACATGTCTTGTTAACCAGGAGGAAGAAAAGCACAGAGACAAAGCCTGCCCACTGACTTCCCTGACTGCACTTCAAAGAGGCTCCTTCAGGCCTCATTGGCAGATGGATTAAACACATCAGACCTGCTACCTGTTAGCTTGCATTGTTTGAAATGTCTACAGACTGATTCATGGTATATCAAACATTTTGGAGGTAGTTTTAAGGGACATTTCTTTGGACATTGTTTAAGTGGTCAGTGATTAGGAGGTCATGTAGAGGTCAGTTTGGGCTTAAGCCTTCAGTCACATGTTATGGATCCTATAAGGGAGAGTGGCAATGCATGACTTCAACTGTAAATTGGCACGTGACACCTCTTTATTAATCCCTGACATGCTGCATGCAGGTCTAGCTGGTCAAAAATAAGGAGGTTTCGTCATATGTAAGGTAACGGCAGCAACAAGAAAGGAATGCAAAGTCTTTAAAAATCGATTACTAGTGGACTGAATGTTGGTTTAAGCAGGTAGAACTTAGTAGTAAGACTTATTATTTGCAATGCGGGTGGGTCGTCGTTACACCCCACACAGGACAAACATTTACACAATGGATGACAACTTGGGATACAAAGTGTTTTCATCCATCTTAATCATTGAAGGGACTCCAATGAGAAGAGGCTGATTGAAGTCATCGCAAAGATAACTGTTGCAGAACTGTACCCTTATATTCGGATAGGAGACTGCTTTGAAGGAAATTAGTCCAAAACTTAAATGTAACTCCGACTCGCTGTCTTCAAACACACATGTTTTGGCACCGAAATGCCAATAAATGTGTGTTTTCAAGATTACCTTTAACTTATTGATGGACACGTCACTCTTCTACACACATGTGCAAAAGATTTTTCTATGTTAAAAGTCGAACAATTATCAAAAGAAATCTGACATAGAAAACAAGAAATCTGACAGTGTGGAAAAAGGGGAGGAGCTGTTAAAATGATAGATTGACAAAAAAGTGAACAAACAGCAACAAATGTATTTGCAAGTTTTGACTTTTTTGTGTTTTAGTGAGCTTTTTCGTTCACAAATTTCAGATTTTTTGGGGGTTGCCTTATTTTAGACACAGTACAGTAGATAGAGTCAGAATCAGGGAGAAAGAGGGGGATGGCATGCGTTAAAGGAACCACAGATTGGATGCGAACCCAGGCTGCCCGCTTTGAAGACTTCAGACTCTGTACATGGGATGTGCGTTAACCACATGGCTACAAGTACCCCACAATGTTTTTTTTTTAATTTCATAAATCTGGAGCAACTTTATCCTTCATTTGGAGAAGTGTTTGTGACCTCCTGATGTGAAAAAATCCCACATTCTCTCTCATGTAATCCAGTTATGGGTCAGGACTAAATCCTGAGGTTGAACCTGGCTCTGCAGCTGCTTAATGCTCCACCATGTTTACCAACTATTGCAAAGTGTTCCTGTCTGCTGTTCATTGATGAGCAGGCCGTGTAAAAATAATAATTATTTTGCAGCTCAAGAATATTTTGCTCATTTAAAACTAATTGTATAAAACAACAACATTGAGAGGATGTTTGTTTGTCGATTCATGAACCTCGTCCTCCTCTCTCAAAAACACGAGGATCTTCTCCCATTTCCTGCTTCACTGGTTTGTTTTTCAGACGTTCAGTCGAGTCTTGTGCCTCGATTGAAAATTCAATTTTCTTGTTTCCTGAACCACGACACTGTCATCTTCCTGTGCAGTAAATAATCATGAACACGGAGGGTGGAAAAGGTCGGCCACACAGGGTTCACTATTTTTCTGGTGGGTGAATCAATCTTAACTATACAATTGTTGTTCTTGTTCAGATAAAAGTAGGGTTTGGCCAGATTGTTTTTTACCTGCTTATTAAACTGACCTTTAGCATTGACACATTTATGCTACAAAAGGCACATTAGTGGGTTACTTACTCTTTTCATATATTAGATTACATTTAGTCCATAATGTTTCCTTAATACTTTTTATCATGATTAATTAAAATGTTTAAAATGTCACCAGAGTTTTTGTTCTACTCCACTGGTCTTAATGGGATGGAGGTGCATCAGTGTGCCACCAAAGTAAGGAAAGAATGCAAGCTAGTGCACAACGCTCGTTTGATATTTTAAAGAAAAAAAAAACAGCTTTGCAAAAATCCTTTTTTGTGTAAGACCTTAGAGATATTGATAAATACATTGAATATAAGTCAAGTTTAGAAACCCAACAGTGAGAGTACTAGTGTTTTTTTAACACCTTTAAAGTGTCAGTTTAAGATGTAAAAAAAAAACACAACAGGGTGAGAAAAACTCTACAACACAGTGAGTTCCTGCACTTATCTTTCAGTGTGCGTTGGCATGAAATAACTCCTTTTTTATCTGATCACACCCAGTGCAAACAAACCAGTGTGTATGTCTTGTACGGCACGTGACTGACAGGTCTTCATGTTTGTCTTTCACTGTCCCTGGGCTGGCATGAAGATTATAAAGCAGGCTTATTTTAGTACAAGGGAGCGTCACATATAACAGCCACTGCTCCTAATTTAGTTATTTAGACATCAATATTTTCCTTAGGAGAAGAAGACATCCTTTATTAATCCCTCGAGGGGAAATTCAATTTTACCCCGTGTTGAACATGCTACACACACACAGGCTGAAATACACACACATGCACAAACAGGAACCTGTGGACAGGTACAGATGGAGAGATGTCAGAGTGGGAGAGGCTGTGCATGAAGAAGCTCCTGCACAGTTGGGTGTTTGGTGCTTTGCTCAAGGGCACAGCAGCAGTGTTCAGGAAGTGAACTGGCACCTCTCCAGCTACAAGAGCAATTTCCATATTGGTCCGCGCTGGGACTTATACCAGTGATCCTCTGGATCCCAACCCAAGACCCTACAGACTGAGCTACTAAATTATTTATGATTGACATTTAATTTTTGTCCAAAATCGGAATAACATTCTTGTATCTATCGCGCTTATTGCTTGTCATCATCACATCCTGTTAACTTAATCTGTCAACAATGTATTTAACCCCGCAGCCACTGTGGCGTGTGCAAACACTGATGTTAAAGGCAGCAGTAGAGATAAGGTGGCAAACATTACTCGGGGATAAAAAGATATGGGACCCACACAGTTCATCTAATAATGAAAAGATTGAGCAGTACAAAATGCATTTTAGGGATTAGTTTTGACCTTTTTCAAATGAGCATTGAATAAAAGGTTATAGTGTAAAGTAGTTTAGCTTTGGCTACAATAATGGACTGGGCTTCTCCGTTTTCCAGAGGTGAGTATTTATTTAGTGACTATCATTTTCACATGTAACTCAACTGTAAGCAACACAGATAAAAAAAACAAAAACTTGAACATAAAATTAAATCAGACAAAAGTTACCTGTTGATAGAGGACGGCCTCTACTCTCCGTGTAGAAGCTGCTTCTTCTTTGTTGGAGTTTTAGCAACAGTCTGCATCCATTTTGTAGCATTACTGCCACCTGTAGGTTTTAGTTTTCACTCATTCATAAACTTAAACTGAATGTTAAGTCAGTAGCTTTCCATTCTCTTTACCATTTTTAAAATACCTCTTGTATTGCTCTGTACTTTGTACCATTCTCTGTAATGCTTTGATCATTTCTTGACGTTGGTTACGCACTTCCAACATTGGGACATGTACCACTGCTTCCCCTTCATAACATTACCTGAAGACACCATGTTGAATCCCCTGCAGAAGCTAAGCTATTGTGGGTGCATCCGAATTGTCCCTCCTATCTCCTTTCACTATCCACTTTACCTTAACCCCGGAAGCAGTTAAGTGGCGGCCATGATAAGAGCCGTTCGAATTCTCTAAAAGTTAAGGAAAGGTGGGTCAATGCTTCCTTTATAACCTCCTTTAGCATAGGATACACCGGACCATCCTTTACGAAAGGAGATGAGATTTGACGCCCCACAATTCCTTGCGGCCGCAACATTTAAAGCAACTCGCGCATCCGACCGTTCACGAACATTAAACGATGATCGTAAAGTGACACAGATCATGAAAGAGATAAAAGATAAGAGACATTTTTATCAGATGATGTTTTATTCAACATATTTCATTAAATTCAGAATGTTTTGTGCATTTCTTCAGTCGTACATTCTTGTCTTGCATACATGTAACAATTAATTTCATATTTATGTTGATGTTGATTTCTGATTGGACAGGAAGCTGATGGTTTCACTTTTCTTACTTGTAGCCTGGTGGTCTATATTTCTTTTATTTCAATCCCAACCTTTTGAAAATTAGGATTATTTCACCGGTAAGAAGGCACAGAAAGAGTTTTTTAGATGCGTTTTTTGTAGCCCATTTTCTGAACATTGTAGTTTTAACACGGCGGACCCACGTCATTAACCTCCGCCGGCCCGTCGCATTTAATGACGTCGCCTAGTGGAAAATGTGGTCGGATTGTAAGAGCAACGAGATCGCCTTTCCCTAAGTCCTTTATGAATTCTCCTAACATCTTTCCTTGACCTCATGACATTTTCGCAGGGTTAAGGTAAAGTGGATAGTGAAAGGAGATAGGAGGGACAATTCGGATGCACCCAGGGTGTTAAATGAACACCTGACTGCAGCAGGCAGTACCATAACCCAGTGAGGGGGACATGTAGTTTACCCTTAAGATAGAAAAAAACAACTCATCCTTCTACTCCAACCCTTAGCTCATTTACTGAACTAAATACATTTTAAACAGGTAAATAATGTCTTTACCATGTCTCATGAAGGATTTAAATGTATGAAGAAACCTTCTTCAGAACAGAAAAGCTCTACACTTGGTAAAGCCCAGTGATGTCACTGATGACCAACACTTTAAAACACAGGAAATGCTGAGCCGGCCCTGTCTTAGAAACAGCCCTGCATGGTGTGTGAAGGAACAAACGAAGCTAAGTATGAACGAGGAAACAAACATTAGGGTGACCCTATATGCTGATGTTGAGCAGGTATTTTTCATGCACCATCTAAGTTAGCCTGTTAGCATATTA